CTTTCGTACTGCACGCTTAAGGATTTTGTCATACTTCCTTTTCAAACGTTAACAGTAATGAGTAACACGGTCAAGACGGTTAGCATTTTCGATTTTGCTGATGATACTCGTTCATCTTGAAATTTTAAAAACATGTAAAATGATTGAATTAGAAAAATGTAAAATTAAAATCAAATACCGTGATAGGCGAGTATAAAGAATAGAAACACAACACGTTTTTAAATTTCGTACTACACACTTAGCATTTCGAATCGCACAAAGTGTGTCTTACTGCACACAATTTTAGTCCCTGGGTCCGAACGGCATGTTTTCGCGCGCTCGCGAGCCAGGCGAAGGGTCGACCGCACGTCGGAGCGATTATCGATTCACCGTCCGAAATCCGACGCGCGTTGCTGTTCCGGCGTTTCGAAAACAAAAATACGATACTCAAACGTGTGCCCGTCGTCTCGCGCGCGATTCGTTCGACTACGAACGGCACACGTTTCATTTGTTTACCGCGGCGGTTAGCCCGGCGGCAACAGCGTTTGGCCGCCCATGGAAACAAGCGTCTCCCGACCGTCCGTCCGTGAAGCCGCTCGCGTTAAGCCGGCGTTAGGAGGAGGCAAAACGGTGCGTTTGTCCAGGGCCTCGCGGTTAAAATTTTCATTGAAAAATATTTCAATCTCATAAAATAAAACGTGAGATGTGTGGATCGTCTGGCGAGTGCGATTTACCAGAGAAATCCGTAGGCGTGTAATAAAAAAACCAACTAACAAAACAACGATATTGTATTTAACACGCCATTACTACGCACCAATAACGACCCGGTATAGAACGGTATAGAAACCGGGATACATGGGAAATTTATATAATGGCATTTCTTAAATTCAATTAGTCACGTTACCCGATATCGCGTATATTACATGTTATCACCTTCAATCGCGGATTATTGTTGTGTGCAAAATAAGTTTTGCCCAGGGCTTCGCAAAAGGTGACGTCGGCCCTGCCGCGCATACATGTGCGAGCCGAACCTACCGCGAACCGTTCGTGATGGGTACGTGTCATGTTCGTTAATGTCACGTATACGCTTGCGAACCAACAGCGAACGCATAACGTACTGGGTTCGCGAGAGGTCCGTCGAAAAAAAATGGAAACGGTGGAACGGCGCGAACGGCTCGTTGGACGTTCGTCACACCGTTACGCAATATTTGTAATACGACAACACGAACGGAAATAGGAACGCATTGTCGGCCCGAGCGCTAATAACGGTGATAACGGTTGACAATTGAAAGACTAAAGTCTTATTATTACCAGCGATGCACTACGCTGATTCACGCTCGTTCACCTGATAATTCTGCGGCGGGCGACGTGACACATCATGTTACTATTATTATCTCGATAATCGAAACAGTTTATCGAATTTATCGATCGTTTGTCGACCTCATCGGACATATTGTATAACTACTTCGGAATATCATACGATATCGTATTCACTGTAAGAGGCCGTAGCCCGTTTATTATTTCGGATGTTTCGGGACATTCGAGAAATCAAAAATATAACTAGTATGAGGCCCTGATGCACGCGTACGGTTCACCATTTGGCTGTGCACTCGCACTCGCGGAATCTCATAAATAAGCTTAGGGACTTCTACTAGCATTTGCATATTTTTTTTAATTGTTGTTAAATATAGCAGAGTGCGAAATGTATTCGTTTCTCGGACATCATATCGAAAATTTGAATGTGCATATTTTTGCATATTTGATAGATTTTGCAGGGGAGTGCATATTTTAAAATGTTCATGATTATTTTGCATATTTTGACAAATTTTTCGAATTTAAAATTAATAACTAAAGATACATATTTCAACCGATCGAAAAAAAAATGTATTAAGAAGACTTAATACTTCCAGTAATATGCCATCAGCAAACTACCTCTCATATCTCGTTATAATTTTCGTGTAAGTATAAATAATACTATAAACCCGTATCGACCGTATAACCCGCTAGATATCGATAACGATATGGAATAATAGTTTATTTGTTTAGTTTTCAGTTCAGTCGATTACATAGACAAGTATTCTGGTCGATTATTATCCGTCGTTGTTTTTGCGTCTCGTAACCACACAACGTCGAATCATACGTAAAACGTCGTACACGTATATTTTGTAACATTGTGTAATGCCAAAAGTACACCAGTCTATGAGTAGCCGAATACAAAGTTTTGTTTCGGAGTTTAAAGAGTTTAAGGAGTTTACATCCGATGGATACGTTTTATTTTGTGTACTATGTGATCATTTTTTTTTTTTTTTTAATGCATATAAATACATATTTTAATGAGTTTAGAAGCATATTTGCATGCATATATGTATATTTTTTAGAGCTATAAGGCCCTAAGCCTAATAATAATGTTCTTACACGTTGGGCGGTGCGCGCAAGCATAGTTTAAACGTTGCAGCACCGCGCGTTTAAAAAACGCACGTGTTCGTCAGACGGATGGTACTCAAATATTACTTGGTGGTCTCATAAACGGGCGTCGTTCATAACCGCACACTTTCAAAAACAGGTCATCGTTCAAAACCGCACACTTTTATATCTTAATCCCACATATTTTCACCAAATTAAACCGTTCAATACCGCACAAATATATATATATCAATTTCGTATATATTTATATAAAATATCATGAATGCACCTCGAGACCGAGCGGGGTAAACTCGCTCGTTCGGACAGTTAAAAACGAAAATATCCCCTGATTTGCTTTGTAACATCACCCTAAGTAAGTCCCAGGATAAAAAAAAGATTTTGTGTGGGAATCATACGAAACCGGCAACGTGAACTGTACATGCAAAGTGTGCAGACAGAAAAGAACTGTTAATCAAATGTGTGCAGTTTTGAACTACCGACCTTTCAAATTTCCCTTTTTAACAATAGAATAAATATGTGGGGTATTGAACGATGTAAAATGTGTGGTTATGAACGGCAAGTGTACGGTTTTCATGACCGCCGTCACAAACACATTAGAACAATATATCAGACTTCAAGGTGATTTTAGAATAAAACCATTTATATGGCCAACAGCGTGGCGAAATTAATTCTCAACAGTTTATATTGCCGGATCCACCACCCACAACAAAAACAATTCACTTTTTTTTTTTAAAGAAAATATATTTATTTATTTAAACTATGCTTTTTTTAACACATTGGACGATCTACCAACTTATGTAATTGCCTCACCAAAACAAATTTTACAATCCTTTTCACGGTTCAAAAACATTATACTTTCCGTGCCACCCGCGACACCTACCACCCTTCTAAATTGAGGTACATGTCTCAAATAAAGTCTTACTTCATGCCTCTGTGTACAGCAAAAATAAAATATGTTTTTCTGAATAACATTTATTATAAATCTGTTTCCTGCAAATATGTAAATTAAAGTACTATTGTTAATGTATACATTTACATATATTACATATATACATATTAACATACTATAGCAAGTAATCTAACATAATATAACTATGTAGTAAGTATATTTGATACTTGGAAATTGTTTTGTTTATCTTGAATTAAGTATTTTTATTATGTAATAATGTGCCTAACTATGCTCTAAAAATACAATTAATTTTTAACACTTTACAAACCTAAAATTTTTATATTAAAATTATACAATATCAGTTATTCTAATAATCATGATAAGTATCGAAAAAGATTATATATATTTTATTTATTTGTATAGCACTTAAACACATTAAATATGCATTAAACAGATTTCAATAATTTAAACAGCAACAATTCTAAATTCTTAACAACTCAAAATTCTCAAAGATTCAAACGAAAATGTATTCCCAAAATATTTTTTTTAACATTCAATATAAAACATGATATTTGGTGCTCCTTAATAATGTTTATATAATGTATTCTGAAGTAAAGAAAACTTTAATAAATTCTCAACAAAGATATATTTTTATAAATATTAAAAAAAAAAAAAAAAAAAAAAAAAACTATGGATAATATTTTAATTTCTATATAATTAAAATACCACATTATATATATATATATATATATATATATATATATATATATATATAATATCTTTAATTTACAATAGTATGGGAAAAACAAAATGTTACAATAAAATATTAAATAAAAACCATTTACAATATTAGTTTTTAACAATTAAGACGTGTAAATATATTATATTTTAAATTTGAATAGTCCTTTATTATTATATTGTATATTATATAGTATATATAGTATGAATAGAATAATATAATTACTATCATTATTTGATAATTGTCTAAATATATTTAAAAAATAATTAATGAATAGGTAAATAATAAAATGGTTAATAGCTATAATCTGCTCGAATTGTGAAAATAAAAAATATCACTAGACTGGTTCATAATGTTTAAAATCAACAAAGATAATAGTCACAGTTATAAATTATACGATTTTTTTGTTCAAAAACAAATAAAGCATGGAATATAATGTATTAATTTATATGGCATTTATATTTAATAAAATTGTGTATGCCTTATATATTAGCTGTATTATTTGGTGTAGATGAGCCAAATATCACTGCCAATTCGTCCAAAAGGGTTTCATTACGGTATGCCACTCTAATATCCGGTACATTGGTCCTTGATATGTCATTTCCTGCAACCCCTTCTTTTGTGTAATTCGGTCCCAACCAATACTGCTTGATCTGTATTGAGATTAAAATTGTATTAATAAAATTACAAGAATAATTACGCAAATTATCAAAACTAACCCTATGCGGAAATCCGGACATTATTACAGAGTTTCGGGCCAACTCGCTCATATCACATGATGATAATTTCCATACTTGTGCTGCTATTGAGTATTCTTCCATTAACGGTTCCTATAAAATTGAATCGTTTGTGTTATTTTTACCACCTCAAACATTTTATTGCTACTATTTAGAATGCAGATAACAATTAAATGTATAATAATTTCTGTTAGAATTAATTATGGATGTACCTTGGTGAAATGGAATTGCAATGGATCGTCGGTTGACAGACTAATAACCAAACCACGAGCTAAGTACTCGGGTAATGGATTCCGATGATAGTTTAAAAACAATGAATTGTTTGATAACGGTGACATGGCTATACCGATCTGGGCGACATAATACAAATATTGAAGTACGGGCACTTTCCTTAGAAGCAGTCCATGCGATATATTTTCCGCCATCATAAAACCGCAAACCAAGTGTTGTACAGCTCCCGCTTCACCGCAATGAGGTCTTAATACAAACGTGTTAAAGCCTTGTTTGCTAAAAATGTAAAATTAATATCCTTATAATTAGAGTAACGATTGTATATAAAAAAATTGTATATAAAATAATCGTTGAAAAAAAATCTATTTACAATGGTAAATAAACTTGATTCTTATAATTTGAAAACTTTTAAAATAAATAAGCAAATATTGCATGTTTTTAAATACTCACATTCTAAGATGATTGAGTACAGTCATGTTGGCGTACATATAATACTGATAGTACGCATATGGAGGATTATCGGTTTCTGTCCATTGAGCTGGCTTAGGAACATTTTGGTCAACAAATGGATTTTCCGGTTTTGATTCATCATCAACACTATCAAATCCAACAACATGTTGCAAAAATCTGAAAGAAATACATAAATTAATTGAATTGTTATAATGTTGACAATTTTATTTTGAAATAAGCATTTAAGTCTAAACATTTACAAATATCAATTCGTTAGCTTTACGTAAATTATAGATACACGAGCATAGATACCGATTGTATTTTACACATTTATTTTTATTTTTCGTTGGCGTTATATATTAAAATATTAATATTACCTATGGAGATCAGGATGCGAATTAGGATCATTGGTAGCTTCAAATAATGGCAAAAATACATTATCCAACAATTGCTGGAAGTTGTCTAAAATATTATTAGATTTGAATATGTCACTATAAAAATAATAAAATAATAATATATTAATACTATTTGAACGAGTAACACAATGTAAAGTATTCCAATATAAAACATGTTTCTCTATTAAAAATTATTACTACTTTTCAGTTAATACTCACAATACTCGTGGTATCTGCACCAGCCATCGAACATTGTCAGAATATACATTATTAGAAATGGCCCATTTGGCTAGTTTATCCCATTCATCAATGCTTTTTCCATAAATAGACAAACGAAGTTCAGCGTTTTGATACTTTGATTCTTCTAAGTCAGCAGCCACTTCATTAATGACCCGAGCAAAATATTTACCACCAATATGATTATCGGTTTTTAAGAATACTTCCCTAAGACGAGATTCTCCAATAGGGTTGTATTTGGCATTAAATTTATCAAATCTATGAAACGTGTTACGATCCTAAAAAAAAAGTTTAAAATTAAAAATCAAAATTATTAATTATAATTAAAACAAGTGTATATTTTACTCGTTAAGTACATATTAAATTATTTTTTAAATATTTATATTAAATATATTCGATTGATGTACTTAAAAATATTATAGATTTAAAATTACTTAATACTAAATAACAGTGTTTACATCTTTCCGGTATATTTAATACTTATTCTGTTATTCGGGGCGGAGATAAATCCAACAAATCAGAAATCATCAAAATCGGTCCGGCCCTTCTTGAGTTATAAATTATTTAACTAGCCCAACTTTTTTTTATTTATATAAGAAAGAATAAATAAACAAACAGTTTATATATAAAATAAATAAATGCATAACCTGGAGTATTATTGTATTTGTAAAGACGACAGGTTTCCAATTAAAAATTCTTCGTCGAGTGTATACTAAGTCAATAAAATAACAATAATGATAATTGTTTACCATTATTTTTTCATATTCTATCTCAAATTTATTTTTTATACATCTGATGATATATTTTTAATTTGAAACCGGTCTTACTTTACAAATATAATAATACTTCAGGCTAAACATTTAGTTATATATTTCTATATATAAACTATTTGTCTATTTTTTATTATTTATTATCCGTATAAACCTATTACATATTTATGTATGATTTATGTGGTATTTGTCCAATATGCTATTTACCGCACGTTTGATGGTTTAGTATGCTATATACCGTAAACATTTTAACTACTGTACAGTTATGGATACATATTTCTGATCGCTCCGAGGAATGATTTTTTTTCAGAACTTTTTTCAACTCACCACCACAAATTGTTTAGTTTTTAATTTTTGTACATGTTTGGTCGATTGGTAATAAATCGCGTATACTTAAAAAATTTTCGCACATCTCTTCATTTTGAATTATATGCCAATATAAATCACTGATAGCTGACAAATTCACGACAATAATTAATAAATAACAGTAAAAACACATATAATCGATATGACTCACTAACACACACTAAACATATATAATATAAAGCTATACCTACTAACTTACTTAACCTACTAAGGTATAAATATAATACAATTTGGAGTTTTGTAAAAGCTTAATCTCAATTGCAAAATGATAAAGTATATATAATATACAGCGTACCATAGAATAAGGTTTGTGCAGTATACGGACATACGGTAAATATCATACTAAACTATCATCAAATTACAGTGGATAGCATATTAGACGAGTACAATCACTAATAAATGTATCAGTAAATATTTACAATTTAGACGATAATTATCATAAAATATTAAATATTTAAAACAAATGTTATAAATAGTATAAATTTTACCAAATACCATTTATAATATGCATTTAATTTATTAAATTTACTCACCGCATGTACATCTAACATATCAACGGTCAAGTCGTACGACGTTAACTTCATAGATTCGAAAACCTGTTTAAGCGTTAAGCCATCGGCGGAAACCACTTCATCAGAATGATTTTTCAAAGTTTTCTTAATGAATCTTAACAAATGTTTTTGATTCATGCATGATGCAGCGTGTATATGGGTATCAACCTTTTGTAAAATAATAATAATTTACACATATATGGATTAATTATAAAACTCACAGAGAATATTTTTAATCAATAGGTTCAATCTATGAATTGTAATTTATACTACAAGAACGTCATACACGTGTAATTTGAGCGAAAAAATTAAAATCCTAATGCACACGAACTAATATCCATTATCGATACATACGAGTATTAGTAAAATAATGACTACATTTATCATAGAAAGAGGTTTACAACTTTATCACTTAAAATAAACTTGAGATAATTTGTTTGAAACTCGAGAGTCAGCACAGTAATATATATTTAAATACTTTTTCGAGATTACAAATAGATTTCATATAGTTCAGGAGTACACATTTATTAGTTTTAAATTGTTTTTGTTTAATTCTTAATTTCTACATTTCTTTTACATAATGTAAGAAATTTGTATTTATCCTATAACTTATATTAATATTAATACATTTTATTTGATGATGTTGATTTGCAGAAATTCGTTTTTCTAAAAAAATATAATAATAGGTCATCTGGTCACGCAAAATCAGTGATAGTCCAAACACAGAATTACTTGAAAATTACCAATACAAAATTGCCTTAAAAATAGGTGTTTTACATCCTCTTTCAATGTTCGGTAAATACCTTTCTTATATTGTAGAAATCTCGATGAGGAATAGCTTTCTGTGACGCTAGTTCTCTTAATTCATTAAGCAACGCGTGCAATTGAAATTTTGATGATAAGTAGGACAGTCGACGGTAGCAAAATGATTTTCTGTAGCGAAACATCGAAAAAATATTTAAAATATTTAAAATTTTCAATCGAAATGCAATACCAGATAGATAGTAATGTTTTAGTTATAGCTTACAGCGGTCCATCAGATATCATTGTACACAATCGTTGCATGTCCCGACAGAACGTATCCAAATTCGGATACGGAAACCCTTGAACTGGATGTTCGGCATTGGGACTACTGTATAATTGAAATACGCCGTCCCGAGCACGGATCGTGTAGCCCAATGAAGGTGGAAAGTCACACTGCCATGGATCACCAACGCTGGCTGGAGGATGTACCGGATGATCTATATTGCACAAAATCGCTCATCAATTTTCGAGAAGCCAACTAGTTAAATCTGGATGCAGTTAATAACAACATTTGGTTATAATAAAAATAAAAATAATTCGGTGAAAAAAACAAACAATAAAAAGTAATTTTGAGCGTGCCAAATACATACATATGTATATGAAAATTTTTATTATTGGTTCGTCAAGTACTGCAGTAAACTGACGTTACTTAAACAATTAAAAATAAAATATTAATTGTTAGAAATTAATGTACGAGGAACTGTAACCTCGTTCGGATAATATATATATATATATACTCATCAAAATATCAAATACATAATATAATACATATATATAATATCATCACATCATTATTTATGAAATAATAACATGAGTTTTCGTTAATACAATTGTTAACTATTAACGAACGGTTTTATCACTACGAGCGTGCGGAAAAGTATTCGCATGTATTTTTCAAGTACGCAGTATACTTATGTGGTGGTTGCGGTGTTATTGTACACGAATAAACTATACAGGTATATTTTTACTACACGCGGTGGCACTGTGACAAATGCGTACCTATGTATAGTAGTAAATGATTATTTAGTATTACTTATCTATGTAGGCGACATAATAATTGATATAATTCTAGCGTTGAAAAAATACAAAAATAAAAATTGCCGATGCTACACAAATCCTTGTTGTTTTCAATAAGAAATATTTTGATAATCTTTTTATTTTTTTCACGTGTATGTTTCGTCGTATTTAATAAGTATTGTTAATGCATCGCTGTATAGGTATGATAAAACAAATTTTTGCGCAAGCACACCAACACATTAACACACTTAATACACAAATCAGAAGACGACTCTATTATTTCTATAATATCGGATCGTTCGTCAAACACGCACGCACCACGCACCGTATTGGCCGGACGCAATGTCGAACAACAGTTGATCAGTAAACGCGTCGTCCATTGTCGAGCTTCGTCGGTCAGCCCATGGATTATAGGATGATTTCTTAGATTCTTTGGTTCCTAGATCAGAAACAGAGCCTCGTTTCCGGATATCTATACACACACACACACACACACACACACACACACACACACACACACATACACACATCACACACACGTTTATGTATATAATTTATTTTATACATTTATACATAATACATAAAATATAAATGTAGGTATATATCATTAACATGAGCGTGATAGTAGCTGCAGCACAACATTTGCCGTATCAACGGGAAATTTTTCCAAAGAGCCGGTTAAGATCAGTCAATAAATTATGGGACGCTGCAAATTTTACAACAGACGTAAAAAAAAATCAACCTAGCAGTTTTTAATTAAGTATTATTTTTACTCGTAAAACTAACTATATTTTTGAGTAAGCACTTCGTTTACAGTAAGAAAATGAATTACGACAGTACCTAATCAACAAATGTCCCTTCCCACCGAATTGATAAATTCCATATCGAATAATGTTGAATTATATTCAAACTTTAATTTTAAATAAATAAAAATTAGATTCTTAAATAATATATATATTAATGTTATTATTATGCATAATCTGTATGTTTAAAATAGAGTTTTTGTACTATCTATTTTTTGCTTATTACGATAAAAGTTAAGTCGCTCGTGAACCAACTTGTAGGAAAATCAGTTCGTACGAACTTAGCTACACCTGAGCATACATTTAATATAATATACATATTCACCATTGGACTATTTATTTAGAAACATAAATTATAGTAATGAAAATTTCTGATAAAAAGTATTGTTTTATCTGCTGTCAAAAAATAATAAACTATATAATTGATTTTAATTGTTGTTACAGATAGGCGAATGGGGGTTACAACAATAGAAATGGAAAAATGTTTCTATTGTTGAAAATCTGATTTATCAAATTTAATGCAAACGATTTGATCTAGTGGCTCTGTCTACATTAGCGCTATTAATTTTAACAATAAGGTGTATATATATGTTACCGGCAATATGAATAATTCAAGTATTTTGCAAAATACCTAAGCATTATGCAAATTGCCAATTTTTTTAGGCAAAGTACAAAACATTTTATTATATATAATATTACATTTAGATTCTTATAATTATTATATATTATTACAGACAAAATTTAATTTTTATTATTATATTATTACTACTATTTACTTATTATAATATGTTGTAGAAAAGTGACATTTTGAAGTGCACAAAATGTTATTTTTAAGGCCAATACACTTTTTATTTTGACACTTGGATTTAAAAACACATTTTAAAAATCCTAAGCCAATTCTTGTGTATTGAATTTTTATCAATTCATTATACTGTTTATCAGATAAAATCTAGTATTAGTGACCCAATTTTCAAAAAATTTTGTAGTTTGTTATAAAAATTTGACTTTATATAAATCGTATGCATAGTTGCAACACCAAAACGATACACGAAAATGACGTGAAAAATTACGATATCGTAATAAAATTATTATTACGTTCAATATTGTATCTCAGAATTATTATTATAGTAGTAAAAGAATATTAATCTTTATTGCGTCAAATTGTAAACACACATTTATGATAAACGATAAGTAAAGTCGTTGGTAATAAGTGATGCCCAGTTTTGTTTGTTTTCTTTATATTGCCAACTCCACGATTGGCAAATACATAATACCTAGGCAAAGCTCGTATTATGTATATTGCCGAGTGATTTTTGGCATTTTATATAATGTCTAGGCATTTTGCAAAATACCGGATTATCCATATTGACGGTAATATATACAGTGAAATTTCTGAATAGCGGACACTTTCGGTCAACAAAATTTTGTCCGTTATTCAGAGGGGATACTTTTGAAATTTTTTTTTATAATAATGTAGTATGTACCTATGTATGTATGTATAATGTTATTACTTATTATTTATAGTAAATTTTTACATTTTTATACTTTTACAAATTATTATTAATTATTATTTAAGGTATATTTGTACAATCAAAATCAAAATTATGTATATACATGTATTTTTAAATTATTTTTGTTTGAAAAAATCGGTGAGCTTTGTTTATTTATAATTACACCATCTCTGTGCAATATCATTAGTAATATCATTTGCTAATATTATAGCAGAAGTAAAAATATAACTGCTGTTTACCTCTATTGACGAAATAAAATGACTTATGTTCTTTACAGCAGACAAAGCATCCAAAGAGTCGTAATCTTATCGTCCCATAACGAGTTTGTTATCGTAATTACATTATTACGAGAGTACATACGAATTTGAATACGTATTATTTTCGAATAAAGATTAAAATAATGTCCGTTATTTGGAGGTTTTTCCATTGAAAAGAAGTAAAAATATCCCCGTTCTCCAAAAAAAGGCCCGCTATTGGGAGGTGTCCGTTAGTGGAGGTTTCACTGTATATATATTATAAAATCAAAGGCTCGAATATATAAGTTGCTTACGTTAATGATACATACAAAGTTTATGCATACATTTATGCATATGTATACAATAAATTATAGAATATAATAGTATAATAGATATAATATATTGCGTGATTATAAAACTTAAAATTGATGTAAATGGTAGTAATCGCTCTCTCACACGCCCGACGGTATTTTATTATATTGCAAAGATATAAATATCATAAATAAATACAAATACATTTCTCAATAAAATTATTGATTATTAATTGGAAAACTTACCCGCGATCGATTGACGGTCTTCATGCTTGATTATCCGGGCTCTAGGATAAGGTTGCCTGGATTCCGGTTTATTAATAGGTTCACCATTTGCGGTGGTCACATCCGTACCACTGTCCGATGTTTGATAACCGGAAGCGTTTCCAGAGGTAGGTGACGAAGAATCTTCTTGTGCCCGAGGGTGTTTTTTATGGAAACATTTTGACGTGATAGTTGGAAAGGTCTGATGCGACACGCGCATATAACGTTCTCGGATGTGTAAGGCTTCCATAAGTTGTTGTGAGGCCCAGTGCAAATCTTCCAAAGGGACCTAAGAATACATGTAAAAGATTTAATGATTTTAAAATACAATTTTTTTTTATATAGATATTCCACCCTTACTCCAGCAATGTTATAAAAATAGGTCGATATTTGTTCAAACTTTCCTTCTAATTTAATACTTTTTAATTATGTTTGTTAAAAAAATATAAAATTTATAAATTCATATAAAATATAAAAACATTAACACATGATGTTTTTACTACTTAGTTATTATTACTATTGTATTACATTCATAATATATTACATTCCTTTATAATTTTTTATTAATTAAAAAAATTAACAATCTATACTATAAGATAATATGATAAAATAAATTACCAACACGTGGAAAATATCGGAATAGGAAAGCTATCTAATAATAGAACCCTCTGAGACAGTTTTTAACAAGCAGGTAGAGACAATTATAAAGTATATTATGCTTGGCTTTTAAGTGAGCCCCAAGTTAACTTTTTGTCAACAACTATTCCAAGGTATTTGACCTTATTTGATATTGGGATAGTTTTTAAATAGGTATTATAAAGTATAGAATATATTCCATGTATTATAGATATTTAAGTTGTGTTTTATTGAAAGATATTTTTTTGATATTTTTAAATATTATTTTGATTCGTGTAAAAATTTAAGTTTGACCACATTTTTTCAATCTAGAGTTAAAAAGATTCAAATTTCGTTTTTTATTCTATATTAACACCAATCAAACTATAATAAAATTAATATAAAACAAAATATACAGAACTAATAAGTTACGAGTTTTTACAAAAAAAAAAAAGGCATACGAAACGTTCTAAGAATGAACTATAAACTATAAAATAAGTAAGATGAAAGAAGGTATTTTTGGAGCTAAGACAATTAAAAACAGTCATTCTAAGGATCAATATAATTTCCAAGTCAATCGTGTAGTATTATACATTCAACAAATAATATCACGAAATTACAGCTGCATTCGAATTGGGTCCCGAATTTAATATTACTACTCTTGTGGGCAGGCCCTATTTTTATGTGCACCCCGACACACAATGTGCACCATAAATGTACAAGTGTGCACTACGATCTACAAAACAAAAATTAATTAATAAGCAAACTACTAAGAAATATGAGTATTATTGAATTTTTTAAAATTTAATGTATATATATATATATAATGTATGTAATATATTCCTTATTCTAAGACAGTAGCAACACTAAATTTTCATTTAAAGCAGTAAAATGAAGTGTGCAGTCCAAAATTGTACAAATAATAGGGCCTGATAGTGAGTTCCGAATTATTTTAGGTACTACACTATTTGGGTCCCAGATTTCTATAAGTACTACACTAGTTGGGTCCCGGATTTTTATAAGTACTACACTAGTTCCTGAATATTTTTTGTTAAGTACTATATTATACTAACATTTTCCTTCCCATTTTAACAGACTTAGGACTATCTATGATCTATTAAGACCACAGGTATGGTTAAAAATGTTTTTATAGTTTTTTTTTTGTTTTTTAGTTTTTTTTTCCATTCATTTTTATTTATATTGTACAATGATTTTAACATTTTTAATATTTTTACCAACACAATTCTAATAATATATATTTTAATGGAAAAGAAATTAAAAAACAAAAAAAAAACTATAAAAAACATTTTTAACCATACCTGTGATCTAAATAGATCATAGATAGTCCTAAGTCTGTTAAAATGGGAAGGAAAATGTTAGTATAATATAGTATTTAACAAAAAATATTCAGGAACTAGTGTAGTACTTATAAAAATCCGGGACCCAACTAATGTAGTACCTATAAAAATCCGAGACCCAACTAGTACACTACCTGCGATTAGTCCCTAGTACTGAGGACCCAACTCGGATGCTCCGGAAATTACCTATGCCTTGAAAATACCTTACTTCAACCTATACGAAAACTGTGTTATTTAGAACTAAATGTATTATAATATAATTCAATATGTTTACTATTACGATCGCAGAATTTTACAACAAATCACCATAGTTATTATAATTAAATAATATATTGAAATATTGAATTGTATCTGGTTAGTTTTTCATTACTAAAAATAAACATTTTAATAATAAACATATTTATTAAAACCAGTTATTATACAACTAATAAAAAAATTCTAACTTAAACCTGTTTTATATAAATATATTAAAATAATTAAAAAAATATAACTAATTTAAGATGGAATTTTTGCATTCTTAACAAATTCTTGTCTGAATTATTTAAATACATATATATTACTTTCATCATAAAGTAATATTTTCTGTTACTATTTTATAATTGTCGTTTAATAATTGCATTATGTAAATACTTCCTGATTACTCCTTATATGTTAATAATCGGCTTATGGTAGCTATCATAAATTTTTCATTTTATTTGCATTTACATATGTACCGTTATAACATAGTATAGATATTATAACAAGTGATCATTTGTATACCATACTGATTACGAAATTACTCGATTCGTGAAATACCTATTGCAATATTTTTAATTAAGAATATTTATAACACAAGAAATAAAACACTTTTTAAATAGAAATAGAATATTTACAGCTGGTGTCTCTCCGGGATATGTATCGTTTATTTTTTGAACAATACCTACAATTGCTGTATATTTTATAAACAGTACCTATATCGGAAATCTATTCACAACCTAAACTCATTTGTTGTACAAAAATCTTCAATCTGATTACATCCAAAAAGCATTAGACGTTTCATAGTTTTTTGTATTCCATTGTTAATAACTAATAGTAATAACATACTAATTAATAACTAAGCGCTATGCACACATTTTCGGCGAACCATACTTTGATTACTCTGATTTTTTAGTAATGCGTACACAAACCAAGATTGACGTGCATAAATAATATTATTTACATTTAATGTCATATAGTAGAGGAAGAGGTATTTGATAAACGATTATTTCCAAGTTATAAGTCCACACTATAAACTCTGATTTAATCTTTTCTAAACTAATAGTTAATCAATTCTTAAGAGGATAAGAAATAGGGTAAGTTAGGTTATGTTTGACCGACAAATAGAAACCGAGAAAATTGCTTTTGATAATTCTCTTAATTCACCGTGCCTCTGACAAAAATCGAATAGACCCTTCTCTTTAATAAGTATTTTAATCCTATACAAAGATCGAGTATAAACACAAATCATTCGTGTGATTATAGATACGTTTGAATTTAAAGTAAAACTCTGTTTGAATACGAGCTATAAAAAAAACAATTTAAATCGATTATGGTTTTAAAAAGTTTATTTTTTAAGTCTTCTTTAAATACAATTCTGGCTTCAATAAATAATGATAGATGACCTAATTTACTACTTTTAAAATAATTATTATATTATGACATAGGTTTTCAAAATAATAAAAATAGTAATCACAGTACAATATGTATTATACTCGGTTAATTGTTCTAAATATAAAAATGTAATATGTAAAATTCATATTTCAGCATATCAATAGTAAAATATATATTCAAACAAGTGTAAAAGAATCAAGAAGGCTATTTTCGGATTATATACTTTGGCACAGCAATTATCCTGGACGTGAAATTGGCGTAAATCAAACAGTTCAGCTATTTATAAATATTACAAGGAGTTATGACGAACTAATATGGTAAAAATACCCATTTAGTTCACTGATTATACAAAACTATAAGAATCATAGAAGTTAAGTATTTTAGTTATTTATACAATGCATATTTCTTTTATTTTTTTTTTTATTAAACTATTATACGTATCAAATAGATATGAGTTGTTTTTGTAACTATGCTTTTGAGTTGACTAATTTTTTTAATATAAAATTTAATATAATTGAATGGATTTATTCTGCCCTAAACTAGTATTAATAAAATTGTATAATTGCCTAGTTGAAGTAAGTTAAAAATACTTAGAAAATTCAAATTAGAACACTAATTTATGTGTAAAATCTATATTATTTTAGTTCTAAAATATGCTATCAATTAAACTACAGACGACTTTTACAAATATATATATATATATCAAACAAATCATAAGCAAGCACAGACCATTATTGGAGTATAAAACTACATAAAATGTCCAATAATTCACTATTATTGCTTATTAACTTTTTTTTATAATTTAGCTTGGAAAAAAATTATTATTTAAGATTAAACGATAAAAAATTTAAAAATATTTGTTGTGACATTACAGTCATACAGTAACAGGGTTTTGTTAATGTACCCTCTAATCTCTAATAAAGCCACATACCAATAAAGGGTATGTAGCAGCTTACCCACACACCTATGATATGCAAACGATAAATGCCTAAACATTTTCAATTAGTAGCGAGCTTTCAAACTTTCAAACTTTCAAACAAAGCTTTCAAAGGTTAATGACCTTTGTTGTAATTGCAATAATATTGATGTTTATTTTACATAATGTATTTAAATAAAAAATTATAAAATTTAATTAGGAAGTAAATAAATTATGATTTCATTCGATAAATAAATACACCTACCATCGCTTCATATGAAATAAGTAAACAAAGTTATGTACCAAGTATGCATTTATAGTTTAAAATATATTACCCCGTTGTTATCTTCTCCACCAATAGTAACTCGTTGAAAATGTGGTACGAAATCGTATTGTCCTTCATAGTCTTCTGATTGATTTTGTTGCCAATTATCGGAAGATAGTTGGTGTGGCTCACCTCCTGCAGCAGCCGTAGATGATGGCGTAACTGTTGCGCTATCTCCGTACAGTTGCCGGTCGTCTTTGTTCATGGTCGGTTTTGGATATCCTAATGCTGCTGCAGCTGCTCGTTTTTCATCCATTTCTTTCGCTAGACTAAGTGATAACAAATTTAATTAAACTCGTTAAATACATTAAGTAGTTCATTGTAAATGTATAATAATATTATATATGTATAATATAATGATAAATATTACATATATAAATACTCATATGCTCTGTACTTCTTTCTCAACAGCTAGAAATATTAAAAGCAATATAAAATGATGTATATAAACACATTGTACATGAAACAATTGAGTTAAAAACATGTATAGCTGTGTTGATGATTATACAGTTAATAGTCAATAATAATAATGAATTCAGAAAAAACAATAAGCGTAATGTGAAAAGCAAAAATTATTTCCATAATTATTTATCTTAGTGAACCACAGAATTCAAATATTATGTATATAAACACGTAATAAATAACAGTGAAAATAATAAATAAAGGTCGGTAATGGTCAAAGACCAGAGTTATATATATTTTATATTTTTAGAACAATACCTATTTTTGAATTTCATTAAATAATAATTATTTAATTATTATCTATGTAATTAGTAGACTATAAGTAAATATAATATTAAATAACATCATCAGAATTCAATATTATTGTAATGATGTAAACGTATATTTAACAAACACTCGAGTCTGTTTTGACAGGCAATGAAAATCTAATCTTATGATCAGTTATTTACAACAGTAAAAAATATATTCATTCTCATTTAAAATAAACTATAAAATAACACAATGGCATAAATAAAAATAATGCATTTTTAATCTTAAAATCTGTTTGAAAAACAAATTTAAAGAGGATATAATAAAAATTTAAATGTATTTTAATGCAAAGTTATATACTTTATTAAAGAATGTGGTGATGTAAATAAATCAGCACGTGTATGATGTTGTAACAGCAATCGACATTCAATAATACAGGATAGCATAAAAATTTAAATAAATAAACACCTTCTGATGTCATCATCTTCGTACGGCATTTAAATTTATTTTAAGTTCTTTCGACTTTTTAATATTTATTGGCAACAGAAATTACAGTTAATATTTATAACCATCATAACCCTTATTATACTGCAAAAAATATAGCAATATTATACATTAAAATGGTTAAATATAATTTTTTTTTTTAATAATTTTATATTCAAAATATAATATAATAATATAGTTATAATGTTATATTTATATTATATTTACGATTTTAGTTTTTTATTAATAATATTACTTATTGATAGGTATCAAATACTATATTTTTATTTTTTCGAGTTATGGTATGGGTATTTATTGTTTGTAATAAATATTTTTTTAGAAAATATTCCTATATCTTATTATTATGACTTTTGTTAGTTTCCATAAGTATAATTTTTGAATACATAGTATAATTATAAATATTACGGTTATCGATTAGTTACAACTTAATATTGTAGCTGAAATTTACTATTTTTTAATAAAAGAGTTTTACCAGTTTACCATAAATAAATAAAAAATAAAAAATATTATAAAACCAATAATTCTCTTGATTCACTTGAAATTAAAATAAATATAAAAAACAAACATTACATTATTATTACATTATAATTAATTTAAATCCTTATGCGTTTTCAAAATATTATACAAGAAAATAAAGTATAATAATATTTATAAAAAAATAATCACTTAATTTATATAAAACATTTATTATCTTGAGTATGAAAATAAACTATATCAATAGATATAAAGTTCAATGAACATCACTTAATCTATTAATAATATTGTTGAATAATTAGATTATTGCTATACTAAATTATGTACATTAGTTACTTAGATTATTTTATTTTATAAGCAGAAAAACCGCATTAATAATATACGAATAAGATAATTACAGTTTTAAATATTTTGTTTTTATTAATAGTTTAAGTTTTAGAAAACCAATTAAAAAACTCATTGCAACACAATAAAAAATATAAATATATATTATTTAATAAACTAAAAAGTTAATTCAACCCTCTTATTCGTAGTATACCAACTTTAATATGACCTGATAATAATTTCCGAAGTTTAATATAAAAACTGTTCTAGATATTTATCATAAATAAATTTCAATATAATGAAAAGCAAAAATCAAACAAAACATATAACTCAGTGTAGTACCGTATGCCACTGTATAATCTATATTTTTATGTATGGTAAACCGAATGTTACAAAAATTATTATAATCAATGGGTCTCATTTCTTCGTGCTTTAATACTAGTTATATAGTAGTATAATATTTATTGTACTTAATACGTATTCAAAATTTTGTAAAATATAGTATATACAATAATTATAAGCATATAATTGCTTGCTGGTTTTAACATTAGTGAATATTTTAAAAAGTTAATAAAATAAAATGATTAAAAATAAATGTACCAACTAAGATAATGTAGGAATAACTTAAATATTGTTCTTCTTTAAAATTTAATACCTCGAACTATAATACTCATAGCCTAAAAATTAAAATTTGGTATTTGAAAAGTGAATAATAAATTAATAATTGTAATCAAAATTGTTAAGAACCAAAGTATATTTCAAAACGTATAAATTAAAATTTTAAGTATTCCTTACGTTACATTATGTATATTTCGATAATGAAGCATCATTATTTTATCAAAGCTCAAATAAATAGTATATATTATAATGTATTAGAAAACATTTAAGTAAATTGATCCATATTTACATAGCACTTAAAAGAAAAAGAAAATACAAAATGTTGAAGTGTTTATATTGTAATATGTATTATACAGAAAACTATATTTTATCAACGCTTATCAAAAGCATATTAATGATTTTTAAAAACCTACCCGGTATAAAATAATCGTTCCTGACACCAAATTTGTTGCTGGTTAGTATTGGAAAACATATTTCAAAACTAAATTACACCAAGTAATGAAGTCTAATTAATACTATTATCTGCTGGTTCGAAAAATTAAAAAACTAAAAATATATCATTGCCGTAACTTATAAAAACGAATAATATCTACGCCCACAAAACGAGTAAACATTTAAAATAAACGCTGAGCTACATGACGACTGGAAGACTACTGTGGTAAACTTATGCGACAACCATCTCTGATAGTGATTCTTTTTTCAAGGCAGTTACCAACGTGGCACCTCACATAAGTCATAATTATATTACACGGTAAGGCGTATTCGCGTAGTATAAGAGGAAAACTTATAAATGCACCAGTATATACACATACCAGTCAGTGTATGATATTTCCTTTGTATTGATGTACGACAAAATAAAAATAATAATAATTACGCCACTACTAAAACTACGTCGGATAAAATTATGGTTATCGAATTACGCACAAAAAGATCTACGATAATTGTATTGTCGTCACGAGTTCGAAAATATGTTGAACAAATATACGGTACGATGTTAACCCAAACTTTCATAGTCCAGTACTTTAAATCTGCGGTATTGCTACATATTTATCCTGAGTATTACACTAATTACGATGTGCTTCAAACAAATACACATAAAAGAAAACAAAGTAAATCGTTATTATAAAATAAGTATATGTTAAAAATTCTAACCTGCTGCTAATGGCTGCCAATTTGCATTCAATGCGCTCGATAGGAAACTGTGGTACTTGATATGATGACGAACCACTAGATGCTACTAGGTCGGTGGCCAGTGGAACGCCCGTGGCTGGAGTCACATTACCAACAGGTAGACCAGTAGACGGAATTTGCGGAGGCGGAGATGAAGCCATTATTTCATCGTCGTCGCTTTCTGATAATATAAAATAATATATGTATTAATCGTTAATATTATAATATTAATTCGTCAGGAACGTTAACTGTTTAAACGGGTATAGTTAAAATTATTGCTACAGTGTTTTCATACCTATATATATAAATTAGTGAACATACGTGTGTTATATTAGAAAACCGCTTACGTCAACAGGAAGAGAAAAATGATAATCATATGACATCGAACAAAAGCGAAGAAAAAACTATGCATTGTGTACAATAAATATTAATGCAGCAAATGTATGTGATAACTAGTGTTTATATGCGATAACGTAGATTAATAAAATTAATGATTGTATAAAGGGGTATCAACTCGTATCAGTTGAACCTGTTGACGTGAGAATTTATACGAAAGACTGGGTCACCTTGTACCATCATCACGTGCAATAACAAGTAAATTAAACTCAAGAATATTATATACGTATTATAAATAATATATACATTAGAAGTGTATATGTGTTTTGATGATAAAAAATTTCCCTAATAAGATACGAAAATAAGTACCTGTCATTTGCTACAGCAAAGCTGTTTTAAAAATAAAATAAAAAATTTATCTTAAAAATAATATCAACTAATTATTATAAAATTCACCATCGTCAAAGTAATCTAAACGGTCTCTCCACGTACGTGGATATTCTTGATCAGAATCTGAATCTGAAAACGCCATGGTGGTTGTTGTTGGAGATATACAATACTTCAAACGCCTTTGTTTGAGTCTAAGATAAACACTATTTGGTGTACTACTAGGCGAAGACTATGATTCTGTTGTTAACATAGTGGTTTGAGCCGTTCCGTCTAATTCATTACGATTATTCATCAATGTATAGTTTTATTTTTAGAGAAAAAAAATGTAATTAGACCGATAATAATAAAAAGAAATATTCTGTTTTAAATGGAAACTCAATAATATATACACTTAAAATGTTCAAAAAACGTGAATATGATATTACTGATAACATTAAAATTCAACCAACAACACAAACGAGAACCGAATATACAATGATTGTTATTTTTTCATGTCACTGACTACCATTTTAACAGTTGGCAAAAAAACAATATTTTGACATGATTTTTAAAAATAGAACTACTAAAGGCTTGTTTCACATTTTCGTAACCTACCATCACAAAGAAGACACTATTGTTTAACTACTATTTGTATTACATGGTCACATAATCAAGTCAATGTATGTAAATAATATCCTAATAAATAATTATTAAGCTACAGATATACTTCTTAAACATAACATTATAATTAAATTAACTATGCAGTCAATGTGCTGTTCTTCAAATAAAATTAATCGATTTCTCTTAATTGTTCGATTAATTAGTATAATCGATTAACGAGTTTTTTACTATTAAGATAAATAATTCGTACCGGCTGAATTACCAATAGTTCCTGAGACAGGAGGAGGACTGCCTGTAGCTGTAGACCTAGACGTTACTAAGTCATCTTCTTCGTCGTACTCGGAGTCAGGTCTTGTTTGATTCATCAATTTTGGGCCAGTTACTGCAGACATCAGTGCTCCATCGTCTTCGATATTGGCCATTTTGTTTGCAGTCAGCATAGACATTTTAATCAAAACGTCGCACTGCCACGAATAAATGATTTCTGAAATACATTAATATAAATATTCCGAATTGTAAAAATAAGAAAAACTTTTTTCGTGAAAAAACAAACAATTATTGGTTTAAAAGTGAAAACGCAAAATAATAATAACGGAATATAAAATGAATAAAATACATATAGGCGTACCCAATTTCAATAACTTTTATAACAATCTATAACAAAGAACTAGAGACTAGAGTGGTAAGATTATAGAATTCAAGTGTTCAACGTGTTATTTGAGCTAATCCATACTGCACACTGAACATTGAATACAATATTGCCACACACAATTTATCAATTTAAGATATAAATAATTGCTTTCAAGATTATATAATAACAGTATTTACGAGGGTATACTATGTTATACGTTACAGTGCGTATCGTAGGTGCGCATTCTATGAATGGAGACTAGAGCTTATTCACGCATGATCATTGATCATAAATCATAATGAAATATTTGACATAAATGACCAGCACATGTACATCTCTTTGGAATAAAAACTTGATACAACAAAACAGGACAATAATAACTAGTTAAAATGAAGAATATTGCAATAGCTAATAAATAATAATAATCCAAAATATAATAACATAATATCACTAATATTTGAAAATGAAACTTTAATACTATGAGGTAGATTAATATAAATAGTGCATGCTCGTAACCATGAACTCCAAAACCCATACCACAATCATTATACATCATTACAATAAAAATAAATTATAATACTGATATATCATGCTACGGCTAAGTGTTGTTATTAAGTGGTATACAATCACAACACGGAATATTTCTATAATAGCTAAACCAATATTACCTAATCAACATATGACAACAACTTTTTATATTACGTGTATAATTAATCGCGTTTCACGAGTATAATTTTTATTTACGAGTCACTACTTATACTTTGATTTTTATCATTCCTCGTAGAAATAATATAATATATTATAGTTAAATATCATACAGTTTAAATTTAACAGTTTTCAGCTCGTTTAAAAACTTTTGTCCGTTAATTTAATGTTTGCTAGATTATTGTTTAACGATTAAAAGCCACATTGCAATATAGGTCGTAAATAATTTTTGATTAATGTAACTTAATTGAAATACAAAGTAGTATGACTTATGATTCAGTTTTAAATAATATAATATTTATTATAGTCATATATTATTATAACGTATATGTAAATTAATATTTTTTTTGTGTATTTTTCAAGCACAAATATTTACTATTCTAAACAAGGTAACAACTAAATTGTTTTGAATAAAACCACATTTAAATATTAGTACAAAGTAATTAGGTAAAAATGACCGCCAAAATTATTCAAGGGTTATATAAAATGTGAAATTAACAAATCAATAATGTGGAGAAACAAGGGAACATTTTCAGATGTTACTTTACAAATAATATTTAGAAAGATAAATATATATAAACAACTTCATTAATATAAATATAGAAAACTCCTCACTTTATGAGTTGCCTTACTACACAATTTACTACGTTCATAGTCACACAGTTCAATACGTTCTTACATAGCTTATAAATAAATAGTAGTTGCCATTAAGCCTAATAGGGGATGAGTGTAATGATAACATAGTTTATTTCTCATATCTACTATTTGTCAACTTAATTATACATACAAAGAAGATATTTTTTTTTGAATACGTACAATTGTGTAAAAATCGAATACGATCAACTAAAATAAAATTTGATCTATAAATTATAGAATTATAATTTCCCATGTTTAGGTATAATAACTGAAGACTACAATTTGAATTCCATAAGCCAAAACTAATAATAAATTCTAATTATTTTATCAATAGAAATAATTTATAAATTAAAAAATATACTTCATTATTTATTTTGATATCCTAATTTTTCAATCTAATATTCATAAGAATGATTGCATATTGATTGTTTAAAGGAAAATTCTTAATTGGAAGTCCAAAAAATATTTGTTATTAAAATGTTTTCTAAAAACTTTTTGTTACTATTATTCATTTTTTTATTCAATAAGTGTTATTAGTAGATTAGTAGGATAAATCAAGAATAAGTAACTATGAAGAAGTATTAAAAATATAAAAATAACTTATGGAATGAGATTCAAACACCAAGAAATAAATTTAAATAGTTGGTCTTTTTAAACTGGTACAAAACTAGATTTCAAACATTTAAGGTGTTGCCAAGTATATACCAGTAACTACAGTATGATTGACTTCAGAATACTTAATATTCAGTGGCGGTCAAATGATTTTATCATGGGGGGGATGTAGCTGATTTTTTAACAAACACTATATATAAAAATCATTATTTTTAAACATGGAAATTATATTATATTAATTGATATTATTAATTATTATTAATGATATTTATATTATTAAATCTATTTTTCTGATTTTTTTTGCCAATTCGTCCAGTACTTCGTCTACAGTTATATTGACAACCTCACGATGAACAACAATTAAACCATTGAGACGAATCTAAAATAATATTACACAAATGAGCTCTTATTATTATTATCTTTGTTATTGTTAAATTTATTTATTAGCTTATTGTAAATCTATCTACTCTAATCCTCGTTACTTTGCTAATTAAATGTTTATTTAGTTTTATTTTATGTTTATTTAATTTTGCTTTTCACCAATAAACCTACGCCATATGCAAAAAAAAAAAAAAACAATTCATATAATAATATAATATATTATGTTAAGCATTAAGTACTAAATTTAAATTTCATACATTTTTATAATTTAACTATAAAGGAAATGAAAAAAATCTAAAAAGTTTGTTTCAATTAGTATTTTAGTGTTTTATGTTTGAACTGTTAATTTTATTCGAGCCTAGAGACTGTATAATAATTAATAAGTACAGTATATTTATTTTTTTAAATATAAAATAGATGAATACCTATATTATATTATGTATAATGTGGATGAATTATAAATATTTAAAAAAAAGTCATGAGGGAGGATATATCCCCCTCATCTCCCCCGTTTGACCGCCACTGCTAACATTCATGAAAGAAAAACGATAAAAAAATGTCTGATCCAATGACAAAAAAATTCAACTTTTATTATTACTCATTTAATTATTTTTAATATTCATAATTGATAATTACAATTCTAATATGTAGCTTTATTAATAAATCTAAGAATAATTCTATTTTGGTTACACACAATATTCAGAATTTAAATATATTATTTATTATCATAATTATTTTATTGGGTACTGGGTTAGTATTTTTTAATGTTAGTATTGGTAATCAGTGGCGAAACTAGGATTGGTTTTCGGAGGGGTGTTGTGAATTTGGAAAAATTAAGCATTTTCTACAGGTGTTTTGTCGGGATAAGGAAGTAAGATTAATTTAGGTTTATGAGTAAAATATTTGAATTACAAATTAAACTGCTTAACTTCTATTTCGTATTGTGATATCACAAAAAAAATATTATACAATCGACTATCGAGAATTCGTAGTAACAAGGTTATTGATGTTTAAAAGTTGAACGGAACAGACGTAAATCGATTCCGCCGAAAAGGTCTTTTTATCTGTAAGAAACCTATCGATTGCGCCGAATATCTTATATATATATATCGATTTCGCCGAAAATATATGTACATGTAACATCACTATATACACATTACATTATATATATATATATATATATATACACACACCATATCTAGCACGACTGTATAATGGCACGAAGCTAAGTAATAAAAATAACATATACATTTTATAGAATAAATAAACAATAATAATATATATAATAATCAGCAACAATTGTAGTTGGATCGAAGTATAAATTTTCAGCTGAGCATGTTTTTATAATACATCTTAATGCGGTAGCGTATGTATTTGTGCTTTTGTCTGGCAATAAGAAATAAGATAATGGAACATAAATGTCCATTTTTAAAAATATGAACCGTAAACAGTTGATAGAAATATTTTAGGCAACAATAAAATTTACCACCTAAAATATTTTGTCACTAGAGTATAGCAATTTTAAATTAGAATTTGTAGAGTAGATTAAAATATAATTTACTGTGTCAGTACTTAGTAGAAAATCTACTAGAAGCAATATGTGTATTTACTAAATCCGAAAATATTATAATATAAATGTTATATTCTGATATACATATATAATTCTTCGGTGGAATTGATAGCCGGCGGAATCGATAAACTGCCGAACGGAACGTTACCAAACGTTCCATATTGTCATGTTATTATTTTTATCAATTATAATACGAACAATATTCATATTTCATATCAATCAGCCGTTTCGCGTGTTCAAGATAAACCATTTTTTTTCAACGTAGAATTTTTAAAATCTCAGAAAAATTTCGGGGGGGGGAACCCCCCAAACCCAACCCTTATTTGCGCCGCTGTTGGTAATATTATTTGATTTTATAATCGTAAAAAAAAATTAATATAGAACTAAGAAATATCAACGAAATGTTATGGAAGTTTCATTGTTATTGATTTACACACAATTGTGAAAAGCTGAGCAAGTTAGTCATTTTTTTCAACTAGTTGAAGTTAAGTTACTTTAATAAAAAACTAAGTTAGAATATAAGTTAGTTTCTGAAACTGTCAAAATTTCTAAATTAGTTAGAAGTTAGTTTTGTTTTAGATAAAAAAAACCTTTTTGTTGAAATGTAAATAATAAATTATCTAACTTAAATTATTGATTAAAACTGAAAAATTAAATTAAACACATTGTAATTTGATCAAAATGTTCTAATTAGGTAAGTAATAATTTCAATTAATTATTGGTATATCACTTATCAGTTATTAGAACATAAAGGATGAAACAAAATAAAAAAAAATATATAATAGTATGACAACTTAAAATATTAATATTTAATAAAAATACATACCTAATATAATCTATATAACTATATTCTAGTACATTTTATTCAAAATATTTGTAAAATTTTAACAAAAGTGACATTTCAAAGTTATCGTCAGACATAGACCCACGCCTTTCATCGAAAGACCTCCTGCACTAAAAAGTCTCTCGATGTGAGCACTAGAGGGAATACTTGTATTATAATTAATGTACAATTTTTGTATTTATTCAGAAAATGTTGTTAATGGTAGTTTAGGAGAAGAGTTTGAATATTCGTTAAATAAATTTTGAAGTTTATCTGTTTTTGGATTTTCTATAGCATCGAAATGTAAAAAATCATCATATGTGACTCATGTACATGTGATGCATGTGTGCGTGATTCTAGAATAATCACACATCCAAACAGTAAATATTACTGATATTGTGACAATATAATTATTAAATCTTAAATATAGGTAATACTACAATAGTTAAATATTAATATAGATAAACGGGTAAAAGTAAACCACCAATAACACTACCACGAAAATTCGGCATAGTGTCTCACTAATTGGTCAAGCCACCCGTATAGATACTATTTATATCTAGTAGATATCAACATTCTACAGACTACGCGGAAAAGCCGTGGTTCCTGTGCGTGCATTATTATAAATACTAATAATTAATAATATATATGAGCCAAAATTTATATAGGCATATATAGGCATATAGCCAAAATATCATGATTGAGGAACAAGTTTTGGAATTATGGAACGAAAAAAATAATAATAATAACTAGTTTGTTTTTTTTCTAATGAGTTAAATTAGACTATATTAAACATTAAATTCAACTAGTTAAGTTACAGAGTTAATATGAATTAAAACTAACAATTTAAGTTAGAAAGTTACTTAAACAGTAACTTTCTAACTAATTAGTGCCTAGTTTTGCAATTGTGTACATACCAGTAATAAAGTATATCTAATATATAAATTATGTAAGAGTAACAATGACAGTTAAATTTTAATGTCAATATCGATTTTGTTAAAAAATAGTTAATAATAATTGATCAATTTATTATGATCAAAATTAAAGTAATTTTGAACATTTTAATTGTACCTGTTAAGATAATAATAGTATGACTCAACATTCATAAATATCTACACCTTAATTATATTAATAATACTAATTTCTAGTTAACCGTATTTTTTTTTTTTTATAAATCCTATATTAAGTATACAGAATTATATTTCCCAAAATAACAATATTGTCGATCATTTTTATATAACCTATATTATTTTATTTTATATAAATTTTTATATTTATAAAGTTATTTTACTGCTATGATTATTATTCAACAACATTATTTTTGAAATTATTTATTATTTTTTTAAAATCGATTTTGAGAAGAGTAAAAATTATATAGAGTAAAAATTTGCTGAAGTTTTGTGAAGTTATAAGTCATTATTAACAATGAGTATATTTAGAAAATCTAAATTCAACATTTGTTTCATCGACCTGCAATCGCTTATAAGGATATTTGTTGTCTACTTGATATTATAATATGTATACGCTTATTAAGGTATAAAACATTATAAAACGATTATCATGAAGCCCATTGTAATCAATGAAAATAGGATTTTACATATGTGTATATTTTGCGAATGAAAATATACCGTTTTAGAAGCATATAAAAATACCCAAATTCAAATCAGACGTCGAAATTAGATCTCGTTTAACAATATGCTAGGTAACTTTTTTATGAACGCATATGCGCGTCTCTTTAATATTTAAATGAGAAGTTAGCACTAGATTTAAGTTAATACACATTTTCATACGCATTTTGACACTCAACCACTTCAGGCTCGTACAGAAACGAATCATGCGAAAATTCTTTATAAAAAGAATAATTTATTGAGCTACGAAAAAAATGAAAAATATTAATAAATAAATTATAGAAATATATTATTTTATAAATAAACTTAGCTTACCCAAACTCCCTTAGATTTCTACCCAAGACACTATGTGTATTTCTTATGAGTACAATTTAAAAACGAAAATCATTAAAAACCGGATTTTTACCATTTAAATATATAATCATATTATTATCCGTCGCCATGTTAAAGTCCACGTAATTACAAAATGAAGGTAGAAATACTTCCTATTATCAAATGCCGGTTTGGTTTTAAGGCCAATTACATAAATAAATAGATACCCATAACACGATTTGCGTTCGTACACAAGTTAAACACAGTGTCGTTATCTTAAATAGACCCCGAAAAATATTAAATTTTATTAATTTTAGAGAAGAAACACGCACACGAATATCATTGCTCAACATTTATTATGAAGTATAATGTGTTAATATATTGAATTTTGTTCCTGAATGCATAAATTGTAGTGTACGAGTTCGCAATTTTAACGTATAAAGTATAACTTTAACAATTTAACTTCAAAGCATATCAACCGTTTTTGAGTAGTAAAACGTTGAGAGAAAAATTTAAGGTAATTCGATTTCAATGAATTTTGTTAAGAGTTACACAATACACAAGTGAGGGTACAATCCAGTAAACTTCAATAGATATAGGGTGCTTAATATAATATTAAAATTATGTAGATACTTGAACAATTTCTATTAACCCTTGATGTGGAAAAAAGTCATAAAAATATATAAATGAAATTTAATAAATGCTTACATTAAAATTACAAATATTTTTACACGATTACTTATAATAAATAATACTATAGGTATTAAATAAATATCATTTTAAAGTAGGTACCATACTTTATTTTTAATATTTTAACCGCATAATTGCGTTAAAATCAATTAGGAATAAAAGAAAAAATATATAATTTTGGCACTTAAGTCAGTTATATAATAATAACTTACTTCCTTATGCAATATCGTATTTTTTTTTTAATTATTAAATTACAAATTTATTACATGGTACATATTGATTTTTTTTTTTACGAACATTTGAGGAAGTTATTACAGTTAGTAATTATGGTTTTCACTATACATTTATTCATTATTCTTTTGATATCTGAATACAAGGATTAAGTTAATGTATTTATTAACTCAACCAAAAAAATCATTGAAATCCCAGGATATCAAAGAAAATAAAAACTATACAAATATTTCGTTTCTATGGTAAGTATTTTAAATTTGTTATGTTTTCGTTATTTCTCGAGTTCTTTATGCAGTTTATATATATTTTAATGTGAAAGTCAAACGTGAACATTTTACTCAGTAAACATACACATTTACAAAAGCTAGTATACTTGAAAAGTTCTACATTAATCTACATTAATTGTTCCAATATCCAAGTAATAATCCAATTAATACCAATATTTATCAAACATCCTACTTATTCAAAGTATTTTTAAGTCAAACATTTCTTTTTATATAATTTTAATACTTGTAATAGTTCAAAATAAATAATTTTTTGAAATTTCAAATATATTAAGAAATTAAAAAAATAATTTTAAGCACTTGACATTATATTGAAAAATAATTATATAATTGTGTAGTTACAATGGAAAAAAGTTATGCGCAACTACATTCTGTAAAGGAGAGTGATAAGTATTACTGTGAACAAGAGAAAACATATAATACAGAAAAGAGTATACCAAATGAATACAATTTCTTAAAAATAGACAAAGTAAGTAGAATTTTAAAATTAAATTTTATCCATAAATAAGATATTTTCAACGAAGCTTAAACTTAGAATATTTAAAAAATTATATTTAATTTTATGATTTAATTATTTTTTACTTCATTCACATCATTTTTTATATCAGTAAAATTTTATAAAATGCTTAAATATAATTAATTACAATTTTAATTAAAAAAAAATATTTATAAGAAAATGTTTTTAATAATAATATACAGTGATTATTTATTAAAAAAAAAAAAAGATAGCTAATTTTTAATAACTAGATACTCTGATATTCACATACATACATTTTTCAATTAACATAGTTTTTATAAAAATATTTAACCCAACATTTTCCAATCTGTGTTGATTGATGTACAACCATTAACAATTATAATTTAATTTAAGATTATTGAAACATTGTATGTTTATTCAAAGCCCTAATCCATTTAATAATTCATAGAAGAAAAATAAGTTTAAAAAAGGCAATGAAAATGCACTTTTATATATAATAGAAAAAATTCTAAATTAATGGCTACAAATTTCAACATAAATAAAATTATACAAGTCAATTTTTATATTTATACTATCACGTAAAATATTTTAGATTTAATTGTTAATTTATTTTGATAAAATATTTTATGAATTATAACTAAAACTCATATTTCTTATTTAAGGAATTAATAAATAGGTAGGTAAATTTGTATAACTTAAAACTAGAACAATGTTACAGAATGAGATCATATATGCATAAGAAATGTTTAAAAATAATGCCTTATAAAATAAAAATGTTAACAACAACTACCAAATATTATTTCTCATACATAGTTTTTAAATAGATTTTATAACAATAAAATATAAAATTTAAAAGTATGCTTTATAAATACTAAAAATAAAATAATCTTAATTTAAGCACCAAATTTAGTATAAAGTGTTGTGGATTATAAAATAACTCTACTTAAACACACTAATTAGTTATGGCTATGAAATGTTGTTTAAGTACAAAATAAAAGTCATAATTTAATTAGCTTTACGATAAAAACTGAATGAATAATGAAATATACATTGAGAATGTATTAAATATTAGAGCAAATTAATTGTTAAACAATGGTCAATTATTTATAAAATATATATTTTTCTCTATATTACTCAAAGAAATACAATTTTAATTCCTTTAAAATTCATTTTCATTACGATTTATTAAGCTCAATTTAACAAATTATAGATTGACTAATTATATAAGCGCCAACTTAAGTTCATCATGTTTATTTTTCATTTGATATTACATATTCTAGAAAACATACAAGAATCCTATTGAAAATCAAATAAATTGCTCTTGATAATAGACTAATAACATTTATGCTGTTATACTAATAAATTATATTTTGAATATTATATAATATAGTGAATATTATTAATTTATCAATTTTTATGAATAGAAATCACAATCTCAAAAATGGTTACAAAAAAATAATTCGCCGAATTCATCATATGAATATTCTAAACATAATTACCACACTAAAAATCATCAAATACTGAAATGGTATAGAAAAAAACCATATACTAAGATAAACTATTTTAAAACTAGATCAAATTTACAAGAATCTAGTAATTCTAAAAATCATAATTATCAAAAAGATTTAAAGTATTTGTCAGGAAATAAAAAATTTGATAATGAAGGACATCAAATTATGGCCGTCACAACACAATCTAAGAAAACACCTATGACTTTATTAAATGATTGGGCGATGCTTGGTGATGGATCTAAGAATAACAAGCGTATAGCTGTATCTTATGAGCTTATATCTATTGAAGGAAGTATACATAAACCAACATTTATGTATGAGTGTCGAGTTCTTAAAAATATAGGTATAAATATTATTATTAATAGTATCATACTTAAATAATATATTATTTTAATGAAATAGTTATAGGAAAAGGACAATCTAAAAAGGAAGCAAAACAAAATTCTGCTGCTGAAATGTTAAAATCCCTTCTTAAAATTAGGTTTACGCCCAACAATTATAAAGCTATAACATCTACAACTACTACCAACAATTTGGTAGTAAATACTAATGAAATTGCTAATTCAACTAAGAGTTTACAAAACATTGATGAAAATGAAAAAAAGTAAGTAATGGTTCATTACTAAAAAATATATTTGATAAATGTATTTATATTACATTTATAATGTATTTATTTATATATAGGCAAAGTTCAAATATTAAAACAGTTCAAATTTATAGTTGCTTAATGAATCCTATAGGAGCCTTACAGGAGTTTTGCATAGCACACAAATGGATACTTCCTACTTACAATACACAACAAATACTACCATGCAATTCAAATTATAAAAAATCATATAGAGTCATTTGTAATGTATTTTTTTTACAGACAGAAGGTATTAACTAATAATTATAACAAAAGTTATTTTCAGTAAAATCCCATGTGTATTTATTTACAATTTTTTATTTATTAATAAAAATACTCATAACTCTATTTTTATAGGATATGGTAGTACTAAACAAGAAGCTAAACACAATTCAGCAAGCTTGATGAACAAAAAAATTCATGACATTGGTGAAAACAAATTAAATGAAATAATATTTTCAAAAAATAATAATATACTTCCAATTATGGTATTTTAATTACTAAAAGTATATCGATTTAGTGTACATTTATAAATCCATGGATAAATTAGTTAGAATTAAAATTATTTAATTCTGTAGAAATTTTTAAAACTAAATTCATACTTAGAACTTATTTAAACTTGAAAATTTAATTCAAAATATTCATATTAATATTATTTTTTACAAAATATACTGGTTTATAAATTTGATGCGTTTATGAAAATTTAATTATATTAAATGTTAATATAATAAAAGTATTTTAAGTTTAAATTTAAAAATTTCTTAAAATATTATTTGTTATACTCAATCGATGTACCTTAAAAAAATATGAACATTACTCTTTCACTGTTAAGAAAATTAAAAATTTAAAACTATTTTTAGTGTTTAATATTATTCTTAGATTCATGAAGATAGCTCAGCTACAAATGAGGAAAATAAAATACCGATTTGGAATACTGCACAAATGTTTCGGACATATTTTAAAATAGCAGCTAATACCACTACAACAAATGCACATGATGAAATATCAACTCAATCAAATAATTCAAACAATGTAAGAATTAAATATAAAATTTAAATTTAATTGTGTACCTACTTATAATAAAATATTAACTTTAAGAGCAACAATGTGACACCTCAAGAACATGAATTGGAACTGGAAAAATTAATTATAGAATTTAATTCAGATTCAAATGCAGCTGTTAAACAATTGGAATTTTTGGGTAAACAATTAAGTTTCATGATAAGCTTTGTGATTGTTGATCAAATAAGTAAGTTTCAAATTCATTAAACTCAGAATTTAAATTAACCTTATTTTTAAAAAAAAATTTTAAAGAAAGTGATAATGATCAAGATAAAAAATTTACTATATTGTTACAAGTAACCACTAAACCAGTTATTGTAACAACTGTAACTGGTTCTTCTATTGAAGAAGCATTAGAAAAAGCAGCTAAAAGTATATTAATTACAATGAAATCAATAATGCTCTTTACTACATCAATCCATTTTTAATAACAAAGAAAAGAACAAATCAATAGAAATACGTAAACATTAATGTGGAAGGTATAATTTATGATTTTATGAAGTATTATTTATTTATTCCAATATAAAGTTATTAAACTTGGATAAAGAATTACATATTGTTATTTATATTTATTTTTTATAGTAATATTATTTTATAGTCTCTATTATTAAAATGCTTAAGTGTGTGCGAGTGTAAATGTGCTCAAGCAGATTATTGTAAAACTTATACAATTATCATCGTTTTTTTTTTTTTAAATCTTTATTTATATACATATTACATAAATTCAGTAAAGAAAAACTGTTGCTGATAACTTTATACACAAATCTTTAATAAATATATTATACTATAAATATATATTAAACAAATACATTTTCACATAATAAATTGAATGGTTGTAGCTTTCTATTTTATTTAAAAAAAAAAAAAAAAATTTACCTTATACGTGAGTTTTTTTTTCTGGTTTTTATTCAATAACAAGGGGGGAAACGATCGCCACGACCGAATCAACAATTAGCGTCAGATAAGAACATGTTATCGTCGTACCGAAATGAAGTAATGTTACATTATTATTATTAAATCTTACTGCTTACAAGCGTGTAGGTACACTGAATTAAAAAAAAATCAAAAGAATAAAAACAAACACGTCACCACTCGGCCGTACGGGGGTATAGTGCTGTGGGTAGTTACAAGTTGGTGCGAAACAAAAAGTGTGAAAGTATAAAAAAACCGATGTGAAACCGATAGACGGAAGGAAACGGAATGAAAGAAAGACACCGAACCGACAGTACAATATTATTTCGTATCGGGATAATGAAATAAATACAAGAACGTCGTCCAGCCGGTACAGCGACGATTACGTAATGCTCGGCCGACTACAGCTGCCGCAATACAATGGTTGATTTTTTTCGTCCTTCCCCTGTTCCTCTCACCGTTCGACGACGTCCAAACCGTTCGATACGACTGGACCGAGCGCCGCGGATTAGCATTCGATCGCAGCTGCCGCCACTGACCGTGGTTACGCAGAAAAGCGGAGAGTTTCGTGATAGTTTTTATCATCGCGAAAATCGGGTGAAAACCACCACCGAAACCTTATCGGACGCGCACTCGTGATAACAAATTATTGTCGTGTTTTTATTTTTGGTTACGAACAGTCCGCGACGGTTGGCGATTGTTTTGCACGTCGTCGAACGGTCACAGATCTGAAATCCGCAACGGTGTTGAATCGACTGTTACCGCCACCGTAACGTTCCGACGCACCCCGCGATGCTCTTCTCTATTTTTCTTTCCACTAAAAATATTTAAGTCACTATTTTGAACTCACGAATTGCGTAGTGACGGCGTGTTGCCTCATCGACAACGTTCTATGATCCCGTGGTCCGTGCCTTGCCGTTTAGGTTTCCACGTTCCGTGGATGTTATAAATGAAATGTATTGTAGGATCTATTGGTACACGTTTTTCTAAAAATCGCGAGCTTAGCTCATTACACGTGCAACAGTCCGGTTACAATTGTTTTATCAAAGAAAAAATTGGTTTTTATTCAACCTAATGTGCTATTTCCTCAACCAATTCATTACTTACATAATTATTTATCACTAACTATTTTTACAAAAGTATTTATACAAATTAGATAGTTAATGCTAAGCATCACTTACCTTTGTCTATATAAATTCAGTCACCAATGATGATTTTATTTTTATTTTTTTTTAAAAAGCATTTAAACTAGTTGCTGACATACTTTATAAAACAATTTTTAACTTACGTGTACTATCATATATTTCTGAAAATTAATTTCTGTAGTGACTTTATGAATAGTTTAAATTTGAATAATATTGTTGATAATTTAAACTAGTTCCATTTTTTCATTTCAATTTCAAGGATAAATTGTTTGAATAAATTATCTGATTATTTAGAAATAATAAATTAATAATTTTCTATGTCTTCATGATTATTTTATATAATTTATTGAAGTTTCTTCAAAACAATTAATTCCTTCCTTTATGGTTTAACCTTTGATATAAAATAATTATATAAAATTATATAAAATAAAATTGTTGCATTGGACAAATAATTTGGTGAAATATATGATCTAGTTGTATTCTGACTTAAACAAATAGTGTCTTGGAATTACTGATTATTATTAAGTTACTTATTTTATTTTTTTATAAGGTGATTAATTTAAAAAAAATTTATTTAAATTGACAAATGGAATTCTTAAAATTTATTACAAATATTGAAAAATTATATAAGTGTAAAACAAGGAAAAATTAATCAGTAAATTTAGTGATAATCATTTAAAAACATATTTATTTCCTCTAAACAAATATTTCAACTGTGTGGCCAAATTACCAGCCATGGATCAATCTAAGATTTTATAAAATTAATAATAATTAGGGGTGGGAATTTGATGTAAAAACATCTTTTTTTCTGACATCCCTACATGTAGGTCGGTAAGCAGAAAATGTGTTTAATGTGATACTGATTAATTTTTTGTAGTTTTTATTTAAAATTTTTTTGCATTTCATGAAAAATTTAACTTTATATGCATTTTTCAGAATTTATCTACAATTTCTTAAATATTAGGGTATTTGATCTCGTATTCCGACATTTGCTTGCTCAAAACTTGCACGTTTGTAATCTACTTAATTGTATATTTATAAGTACGAGCATATCGATCTATGTACATATGTTATTATAAATGGAACAAAATTAAAAGTTAAACATTTTTTTTTTTCTATTTGCAAGAGTCCAACAACGATCAAACTTTAATAAAGTTAAATAAAATAAAAATATTAAACAAATAAGTACTAACTTATTTTATTATTATGTCAAATAAATATAATTAAATATGTTTGGTGACATTATTATTATAATACTGCTTTTAAACTATAATAAATATATTTTGTAAACATTTTTATAGTGCATTTTTTATAATTTTTTATAGCATTTTTGCATTTTTTGCTATTTTTTAGAGCATTAAAATCCCAGCTCTAATAATAAAACTTTTGTTTAAAGATTGATAATTTTATTCATAAGTTTGAAAATACAACATTATAAATTATTATAAAGTATATAAATTCAATAACTTCGGCCAAATAATGTAAAAGCATTAGCCAGTTGTCCACATTCTGGATGTATACATTTATCATCAAGTTTCAGTTTTTCATCTCCTGTAGGTTGTTCAAATGGTATACACAATGACTTAGCTCCCATCACTGAAGCTCCAACTTCCGCTGTACCATCATCCCTATAAAATCACAAATAAAAATATATAATACATAATTGAAACTCATATATGATTAAATTTGTTTTATACTTAGCAGTATCTCGTTTAATATTATCTTCGCAAGTAGGCCGCCCACAAAATGGTATTAATAATAATTTTTTGGCTGCCAAATGAACAAAACATTCAGACCATTTACGGCATATTATGACATTTTCTTTCAGTTCCTTTTCTGCTTTGACTAACATATCTTGTTGTATTTGATTCAATAAATCAGTGATTCTTTGAACTAGCATGTCGTTTCTACTTTCATCTGATTTATCTAATGGGATAATGAGTTTTTCACCATTGTCTCGTCGTACTGCTGTTATTTGTCCACGGTCCAAATCTTTGGGTCCAAGCTCCAGTCTCAATGGAACTCCCTAGCAAACAGTAATTTAATGACTGTATAATTTATTTAATTTTTTTGATTTTTTATTTGAAATCTTTACAATTACATAATAATTTTAAATGTATACATAATTAAAGTACCTTCAATTCCCAGTGGTTGAATTTCCAACCGGGTGAATAATTTTCACGCAAGTCTGTATCTGCTCTGATAACTATTGGAGAGATATTCTTTTGAAAAACACTATTATCATCTTCTATAATATCATTAATATCTTCTCCTCTTAAACAGTTGCGCACATTTATACAGGTTCTAGTTAATTTTTGTTTAACCTCTTCTGGCGTACTAGCACCGACACCACAAGGAACTATGATTACCTTAAATTAAAAAAAAATTAATTAAAATATTTAAGTACTATAATGATGACAGAACATAAAAAGATCATCTTTTATAAATTGCACAAATGTGGTACAATACACCAGATTAAATTCCTTAAGAAAAAAAAAAAATGAAAATTGTTTGCAAAATATTTTTAATTAAATACTTTTTATGTATATTAAATAAGTAATTAATTTCTGTAAATGTAATTTTTTTTTTTTAAATTAATGTAAAATAATCATAAGAGTAATAAAAACTTTAAAATTAACCTTAAACCAAATTATTAAAATTATTGTTACACATACATTATTTACTTAAAACTAATTTATAAGTACCTACCTGTATAGTTGCTACCCGTGGTGGTAAGATAAGTCCACGGTCATCACCATGAACCATAACCATAACACCTATAGTTCTTGTTGTCATTCCATATGAAATCTGATGAACAAATAATTGCTCATGTGTATCTGGATGTTCATAATGAACATCAAACATACGAGCAAAATTGGTACCCAAATAATGTGAAGTAGCGCCTTGAATAGCTCGGCCACTAGATGCTATATATGCTTCACACGTTGTAGTAAAAACTCCTCCGGCAAACTTTTCCTTCTCTGTTTTTTTACCTTTAATGACTGGTACCGCAAGCATATTCTTATATACATACTCATAATAATCTAAATATCACAAATTTAATTAATAATTAAATTGTGAAATTCATTTATTTAAACTTACTCAATGTTATAAGTACATCTTTTACTGCTTCTTCTAAAGTTGCATAAGCATGATGACCTTCTTGCCATAAAAATTCTCTAGTTCTTAAAAAAGGTTGAGGATGTTTAAATTCCCATCGCTATGAAAAATATTACAAAATAGAAACATATTTATAATAAATACTACCTCATCATGAAACCAATTTTCTTCTTCTTCAAAAAAAAAAAAAAAATATATATAAAACATACCACAACATTATTCCACTGATTAAGTTTCAAAGGCAAGTCTCGATAAGACTGAATCCATTTAGCAAAAGCTGGATACATTACTGTTTCACTAGTTGGTCTTATTGCAATAAATTCAGCTAAATCAGTGTCACCAGACTTGGTAACCCAAGCTACCTATAGAAACATATTTAAAAACCTTTTAAGATCAATTAATAATATACTTTATTCACCAAAGGATATTTACCTCTGGTGCAAAATCAGCAATATGTTCTTTTTCTTTTTCTAATGCTGCTTTGGATACAAATATTGGAAAATAACAGTTGCGCACATTCAAAGGTGATCTTTTAAAACGAGAATCAAGCCACTGCTGTATTAATTCCCATATTCCATAAGCCCAAGGTCTGAGTACATAACATCCACTGACATCATAATATTCAATCATTTCACCTTTCACTAATACTTGAGAATACCATTCCCCAAGATTTTCAGACAATTTTGGTACTTCAAGCCCTAACTTAGTAACTTTTTTAGTGTTGGTGCCCTCATTAATACTAGGTGATTTAGTTGGAGGCTTTGTGGCTTTAGTTGCAACTGGAGTTTTTTCTTTTTTTACTGATTTTTTGTCCTGGAATAAGTATTTTTAATTTAATTGTGTTAAAATTTAACAATTTATTGGAATTCACTTTCAGAATACAAATACTGTCTGGTGCATTTGCTGATCTACTAGCAGTTGGTGGTTGATAATCTTTTCCAGTAGCAGATTTAAATTCACTTTTTAACGCTAATAGAACTTTTACTTCTTCTTCAATATCAGCCTAAAAAGAATATATTATAATATAAAATTTATAAAATAATTTAAAATTAATGAATTTAGTATATTACATGTATTATGACTAGGGAACGAATTTATTTGCAATGCATATATGTATTCAATTGTTTATTTAAATATGATGAGAATATTCCACGATTTAGATCATTGTTATTAAAATAAATTAATTTCATTTAGCATATTTTACATATTTCAATGTTTTCACCTAATTTTACATAATTCATGCATATTTTTAGTTTAATAGTGAATATTTTTATGTATAGTGTATATATTCGTTTTACCTTATATTTTTATATTCACAACCACATAATAGGGATAAAATGAAGACCGGTCGTTATAACCAAAAATAAAATGACATACTAGTATACTACATATAAGTATATACAAATTATATTATCTTAGATACATTCAAATGATAGAGTTGAACACTTGAACTTTAAGGAATTACGGATACCAATCAGTCAGAATGTATATTTTTACATACAAAACTGTCGTTAATTTTGTGTTAAATGATTTTTTTTATTATTTGTAACTTTTAAATGCCTTAAGTAAAAAAAATACTAATTAGGAGTTGAATACAGACATACATAAATGAGCACAACGATATTATAAATACCGAATGTTTAATTTTGTATTATAATGTTTGTTAAATTTTTACATGATTTAAAAAAATATATTTTGATTTAATTATAAATGCATATATTGAAGCCTATTACATTTTTTGCATATATAAATTTGTTCCCTAATTATAACTTATAAAATAAATCTATGCAATTTTAATACCAATAATTAAAATTAAATTAAATTATGAAAACGAAATATTCAAAACACTAAAAAATGTATAGTATAATATTTCAAATACTTTTTTTCATATTTCCAAAAGTATACTGAAAATAATGATATATTTTAGCATATTAATCAATATTACACACAAAAAAACCATCTTTAAGGAAAATAAAAAAGTAAAAAGTAGAAACAACATAAAACATTGAAACAATAAACCAATACATACCTTACTTGCACCACTAGATTTCATTCCACGTACTTTATCCCCTTGTTCATTAATTTGACTAATCAAATTGTCAACGTTACTATTTGAGACTTCCTATAAAAATAACAGCAAATAATTTTCTTTCTAAATTAAATGAATTCCTATTTAAAATCTAATATGTTAAAAGTTATTAAATTCTTAAGAAATTTAAGAAATTTAAATACAAAATAAAAATTAAATTAATTATTTTACTATTAATCATTATTTTATAGGAAAATCCAAGTCAATCAATGTAAACAAAAATAATTTTAAATTTTGTTCAAAATGTGTTAATTACATATGGCATTAAAAATATGCATTCGTAAATATTTTCTATGGTTTAGGTAAGAAAAGATAATTAAGTAAAAAACTAAAATCAAAAAAAATTTGTGGGCAAAAAAAAACAACTCTATTTTTGAATTATATTACTAGTCTAACTATATAAGTAAATGATATATACTAACTGGTGCAGTTGATGATTTACTAGTAGTTTGTGGTTGATAATCTTTACCAGTAATAGATTTGTATTCACTTTTTAACGCTAATAGAACTTTGACTTGCTCTCCAACATCAGCCTAAAAATAATATATTATAATATAAAATATATAAAAAAAAAAAAAATAATGATTTTAGTATAAAACAAATTTATAACTTATTACATAAATCTATGAAAGAATAATTTTTTTACTTCAAATTAAATTAAATTATGAAAATTAAATATTCAATAACCCATAAAATATATTATACTTTATAGTATGTAATTTCAATTAAATTTCTTTCTTCTTATTTCTTAAGGTATATTGAAAATAATGAAATATTTCAATATACATTAATCAATATCACACAAAAAAGAAAATCATGTTAAAGAAAAATAAAAACAGCATAAAACATTTAAGTAGTGATTCTCAACCGGTGTGCCGCAAACTCCTTTGAAGTGCGCCGCAATAAATCTATAAATTGTTTATGAATAGGGCCCGAAATTATATACACTTAAAACATACGAAATATGCATGCATTATTTTGATGATTATCATTCAAATATGCACTCAAAATATGCAAACAAAAATGCATGTTTATTATTTATTAAATTTATTTAATTTTAAAATGTATACAATTCATTAAATAATTAATATTCAGCAAAAAATATACTTTAAAATATATCAACTGTATTTTATATATATTATTGAACTGTATGTTTTATTGAAATTAAATTGTATTTTGAATACTCGCTCATCTAAACAAAAGTCACAAACGAAAATCAATTTAAATAAATCAAGCAGATTTTTATTATGTTTTTAAAGTTACCTGGAAAGTTACTATCGCATTAGTACTTTTAGCAAACTTTATCTTATTTTATTATAACACAAAAATTAAATTATATAACTGCACAATTCACGGAATTTACGATGGACATGTGTTAAGTAATAAATAACAATATTAATAACTTCGTAATATTTTTTTCTATTTATGCATTATATTTCAGAAAAATGCTGAAATATGCATAATAATTTGAAATGTTCCAAATACACAAAAATATACCAAATTTAATTTCACATATTAAGATTCAAATTTCTGTCTTACCTAGCTACTGTTTAATTTAACATATAAAAATATGCAAATGTATACAATTCCGAACCCTATTTATGAGTATATATTTACCAGCTTATTATTGATATTCGATGAAAACTGACTGAACTAGTTGTAGATACGTATAATATTATATATTGTAAGTATGCCTGTCGCAGCCATCTCAAACGATCGATCGTATTAATATATTTCAGAATAAATAGTACTGTAATAAAGTAGACTGTAAACAGTGTACATATATATATGTATAAAATATGATTCACATGATAGATGGATTGGTATGCCGCGAACAATTTATTGGAGATGAAGTGTGCTGTATTGTTAAAAAGGTTGTAGTATCACATGATATATGTATTTTTATAAAAGATGTAATTTAGAATATTGTAGTAAATAAGATAATTGTTAAAACAACCTTGTAGTAGATTAATCTAATAATAAGAATTGTGCTGATCTAGTTAGTAAAATATTAGTATATAAGGAGAACTAATTTGTTACTCGGGGCTTCATTTTCATTTTGTTACTTATTAATGACTGAGGTAATCCGTATGTGGAGAACTTAGGTCCTAACTTTACTTGTGAATAAATTATTAAAATATTATATTGTAATGCAATTGTTATTATGTTATTTTACTTAATTAATCTAGTTAGCCTATTCAAGGTTGAAAACCACTGCATTAAAGCAATCAAAAAATACATACCTTACTCGCTCCACTAGATTTCATTTCACGTACTTTATCCCCTTGTTCATTAATTTGACTAATCAATTTGTCAACATTACTATTAGAGACTTCCTATAAAAAAAACAGCAAATAATTATCTAAAAATGTAAATAAAAAATAAATGTTCAATTAAATAATTTTTCATTATGCTATGAGAAAATTCATGTTATTCAATTAATGTAAAAATATCAAATTTTATTCAAAATGTGTTAACTACATATGAATTAAAAAAATTACATTCAGAAATATTTTCTGTGATATAGGTAAGAAAAAATCAATAAGTAAAAATGTAAAACATAGAAAATGTATATTTCATAAGGTACATTACTTTTTTTTTAAATAAGTTTTAATTAAATTATTTTACTAGTCTTACTATTTTGAAATATACATGAATATAATTTTAAAATATTCAATTATAAATATTAATTAAATATATTTTAAATTAAATAAAAAAATTTAATATTTTGTTATTGAGAAAATTAATTTAAAATACTATCTCAAAAAAAGTATAAATTGTATGTTGATATAATAGATAAACTACCTTTGCATTATTTGTGTCTGGTGTAGGAACAGCTGTTATGATTGTTGGCATTGCTGATTTTGTGTGACCATCCGGTATATTAAATAATACTGCAGGAGAATCCTTCCCAGTATGAACGCTATAAATAAAAATTAATAAAATTAATTAGTTAATATATATATAATATTTACATTTTCTCTTACTACAACTGACCTGTATGGTTGATAAGGTGAGTCACATATAAAATATCCTCTACGTTGTAATTGAATTACTTCTCCTTTACGTAAATCTTTTATTTCCGAATCCCCTATCATTTGCAATTCCCAACGACTTTTTTCAGTTAAATAATTCTTGAAATCATCATCTTTTGCAAGTACCGGTTTACTAATCAAATGATCAAAATATACACATACAACTGGTACCGGAATAGGTAAAGTGTCATCTGAAGAATTTATATTTGGTAACCATGTTACTTTTACTGTAGACTTGAAATCTGTATTTTCTAAATCAGTTTTTCCAAAAACTTTTTCTATTTTATTACTTTTCAGATTTCTACAAATATACATATAAAAATATTTATTAAGTTTTAATAAGTTACTATTAAGTTTCCTTATAAATATTACCTTTCAATACGATTTATTAAAATATTCCCCCAATTAATGAATGTTGCTCGACGCCCAACTTCTAATAGCTCAGCATCGCTATAATCTATAAGAATTGTAGGTGCACCCCAAACACAATTCTTTAATCCTAATTCAGGATTTTTAGGATGTTTAGGCACATTTTCTAACTTGTATGCCTTGTCCACATTTTCTATCACAACTTCAACTGGTGGGTTGGATATTAATGAATTATCATTATTAGTGTTAGCTACTAATAAAGCTGTATGTCTAGGTGCTATTGAATCAACAATGCTTCGATTTAATGACCATATTTTATCCCACTGCATGGCTGTAACAGTTCTAGATGAACCTTGAGCCACAATAAATTGTTTTAGTGCTTCTAATTGCATTCCTCTTCTTAAAACACCACGAACTGTAGGCATACGGGGATCATCCCTTAAGTAAAATAAATAATGTATATTAATATTTCAATGAAAGAGAATTATAATAAATTATTTATCATACTAACCATCCATCAACATGTCCTTGCTCAACAAACCAAGTAAGTTTTCTTTTTGATAATACTGTATTAGTCATGTTTAATCTTGAATATGAACATATATAAGGTCTTGTTTCATTATTTTGAGATCCAAGTTTCAAAACATCACAAAACCAATAAAACTGCTGATCACGGTCAACATATTCTGTTGTACGCAAACAATGAGTAACACCTTCCAAACTATCCACAATGGGACAGGCAAAATCATATGTTGGATATACTCTAAACAATATGTGGAGAAAATAATTTAATGTAATAAAAGCAAAAAAAAAAATAAAAATTAATTTTAAAAATAAACAATACAAATTACATATTATCTTACATACTATATCGATAATGTCTAATAGAATATTCGTCAAATAATTTTTATATTACTTTAATTTTTTTATTTAATTGAAATAACTAGTAATTCTTAATGTTGTGAACATAATATGCTTACTTATACTTATCTAAAGTTCTAGGATGAGATTCAGGTTTGCAACGATATATTGTTGGATCTCGTAAGCATCCATTTGCAGATTGCATATCAATTTTAGCTCTAACACAACACTTTTGTCCAATTTCTGAACCCAACACCATTTCTTTCCACATTTCTAAATTTTTTTCAATTGCTGAAACATAAATAAATAAATTTCAAATAAATTTAAAATTTAAAAATAATGTATTATTTATGTAACTTTTGAATTAATTATAAATCCAATATTATTTATATATAAATAACTAAAAATACTTACAATTGTTTCGGTTTACCGATTCCACTCTTTGTTCACGTTCTAAACGCATTTGATCTGCTTCAGTATCATCCACATAAGCTAATCCTTTTTTCAACATGATATTCTCACATATATCCAACATTTTATCAAAATAATCAGATGTATATGTAAAAATGTCGGGTTTAATTTTCAATAACTCAATATCTTCTAAAATAACCTTTATTATAAAATAAAAATAAAAATTAAATTGTTAGTAAATAACACTACATTAAATACTTGTGAATCATGGTACTACAAAAGCACCGTGATGCATTATTTTATGAAACGTTATAATAGTAATTATATCAATTTTAATTTATCATTAAAGGAAATTAAAAATATTGTCACAATAAAAAAAAACAATGTATGTATACTACATTGATATTTTAATACCTTTTCAAAATCTTCTTTTTCTTTTGCTGGATTTGTATCATCAAAACGCATTATAAGACGACCATTAAAAGCCAATTGATAATGTTGATTTAAAAGAGCAGCTTTTGCATGTCCAATGTGTAAATATCTGAAACATGATTACATTTTCTTTAAAAAAAGAACACATTTACTATTAACAAAATATACTTTCCATGTAAGTTTTTAAAGCGTTAAAGAATCTCAAATAATAAAATACATAAAAATATACTAACCCACTTGCTTCAGGAGGAAATCTTACAACTACTTTTCCCATCAAACCCCCTGGCAATTCTACAAATTTTCCTTGTTCTTTGCTATTTATCTTCACCTCAGAATGCTCTTTTGGTGTTTTTTCATTTTTTTTCTTGTTTTTATTAACATTTGAACCTATAAAATATATACGTATATAAATCAATAAATAACCTATTTATAATAAATAATATGTATTCTGTCCACTTAAGGACAGTACAAACATAAACAAGTCATCATTTAAAATTGTTAGTAGTACGAAAAATAAATATAATGTATAAGAAATAATTAATAGGTAAATTAATATTGTAATATATTATAATATTCAAACAAATACATTTAAAAAATTTTAACCTGATGTAAATATTGAATAATTATAATTCAATTTAAATTGTAGAGTTTTGTGATGTATACATTATTGTAGTACAAAACCAATCTTGTACATCTCTTTTAAAACAAATCACAATGTGTAATTTTTTTTTTCTCTTTGATCGAGTAACTTAAATACTGCTATAAAATACATTTTCACAGCAATTGAACTCATGCCATAATTATAAAAGCAATAATACATCAATAATCAGAAGGAAAAATGCGAACTAATATTAGAAACAACATTCGGTTTGAAAAATTGCTAGTAAGTACATTTGAGACAAATGGAGAACATGAAAATTGTAACGTTTTTAGATAAGATTGTCATAAAAATATTTTTTTAGGTTGATGAAAAACTTGATCGATATCTAAAAAATTACCTTGTTTTTGTGAATTAGTATTCTGCAAGTCCAGAGCAGCCATCTAGAATATAAATAAAGAAACCAAGGTGAGAACATAACGTAAACAACGTTTTCTGTTGCGTATGCTCAACACGACAGATAGCTACGTTTTACCTGCTGCTCAATACTAGATTTATCTTTTTTGGACGCTCCACTCATACTGTTCGATTAGCTGAGACTAATACGAACTACGAATAAAACAACCACGAAAGAATAAGACTGTAAGAAAATAGAACCAACTCAATGACGAGAGTTAGAATGGCACAGATACCTATTGGGTATTATAGCGTCGAAAAGAAAGACGCGTACCCGATGTGGTGCTGTAGCAGGTATACTAACTTCATACTTATTTGAGGTTAAACTTGATTACGAATATCATAATACGTAATCATACGGAATGATAATACTACGAAATTGATAAAACTTAAAAAAGAACTTGTTATGTATTTACGTAGTTGTATACTGTTGACGGTTCAATCGCATCATGAAAAATTCGAAAAGTTTTTGCCCTCTAGTATCAATACAGTAGCGTAGAACTTCAACAAACAAAATAAAATGGTGTGACAGATTTTTTCATGGCGACATCCACCTACCAAATAATTAAGTAAAAAATATACAAGAGTCGTGGAGAAACAAGAAACTATTACTGAAAACAGTATAAAGTAGATGTTAATTTTGTACACTATGATAGTAATATAATATTACTACACTTTTAAAACTAAACATTTACTGATTTCAAATGTATTAATATCTTATTAGTTATTACTAGGTTATTGCATATAAATTGTAAGTAATATACACTTGAAATAACCAAAATATGCAACTGAATATTTTTTATAAAAGCAATTAAAAATTTTATTTTTAATTTGATTATAAAGTATCGACCGTTCACGCAATGACTCATTCTATGAGTATTATTGATCATTATTCGTTTTATTGAGTATTAAGTATTAATTGACATCCAACAATATAAAAAATAAAAATAAAAATGTTAACTTTTAGAATAAATTTACATTATATATAACATAAAAATAATTAAATATTAATCAATTAAAATGTATATATTTTAGTCCATTATGTATACAATTAAATTTATATTTTACTCACGATTATTCTAGTCATTATTAAAGAATATGCAAATGTAACAAGTCTCAAATCTAGTTATTATTGTTATTACTTTATCTTATATAATTACTTGATTACTTCTTGAATATGTTCAATGTAGAGGAACAAGGAGGAATGACAGCCACCTAAGCGGAAGTTTATGTATGAGAAAAAAATCCAAAGTACCAATTTTTATAGCATCAAAAAAAAATTGGATCTAAAAATCCCGTTTGACTGGCAGATTTTAATGACACAAATGTATTTTTCATTTTAACTTTAAGACTTATAATATATTTTAATGGTTCTCCAATGATTGTTAATATATTTTCTTTATCTTTTGCTTTTAATGGTCTTTTAAACTATCCTTTTTGTTCAAAAAATTTCTAATGTTCAGAAAATCAAAAATATTCTTAATATTTTTACAAAAAGTTATTGTTGCATTTACATTTTTAAAAGCTTCAAGTTTTAATACATCTTGACAGTACAAAAATGCATCAGTGACACTGAAACTAAAAGTTTGACATGTTACTTTAACTTTCATCTTTTATTTTTGATAATTAATGTGTCTTGATCTAATTTTTGTTTCACAATAAAAGCCTGTTTTATTTTGAATAAAAACAAGTTGTTCAAAATAATACCATTTTACTATATAAAATATACACCTCATTCACCAAAAATGTTTCTACTAAGTTTCAATATTTACGCAGGATCTAAAAAAATATGCACTTTCTGTTTTTTTTTTCTAGGTGAGTAAATTATTTAATACAAGGCATGATAAGGTTTGTCCCTAAGCAAGCTGACATAGAAATATTTATGGCTACTCCCTCAAATGTGAACGTTTTTCACATACACCTTTATCACGAATAAAAGATAATACAGTGTTTACGAAATTAGCTTTTTCTTGAGTATTCAAACCATAGACATATTAAAATGATCTTAATATGTCTATGATTCAAACAGTTTGTTAGAAACTAAGCAATTGGTATTTTCCAGTGAGAATTGATTGATACCAAAAAAAAAAAAAAAAATTAAGACTTCCCTAGCTTTTAGTAATCCATCCACCGTATCTGTTTTTATACCATAATTAATAAATCCTTATAATCGTTTACCATTATAATGGATATTTTCTTTGATATACATTTCATCTATAATAAGATCACATACAAGTTCTTTTCTTTTTGCCAACATTTCTTCAGATTTAATTTTTTGTCATAATCCCATCTATTGTTGCATGCCAACCGTTTCATCGTTACTTCAGTTACTAGTAATCTAGTTAACACTTGGATGGGGGTAAAGTGATGAAATAATTAATACTCTTTATGATTAGTTGGTTATTAGTTTCTATTTCTAAAATTTTAAATTAACTTCCTAAAGCTTTTACTAAAACCCTTAAAATTATAAACATTCTTTTAACTTTGCCTGTAACAACTGCTTTCAATGAACGTTTTTTTTCTTTCCTTAAATTAATTAATACCTATATACGCTTGACAATGGGAAATGATCAGCTGAGTGATTTGTTGGTTATAGCTATTGAAAGTGATATTGCTGCAAAAATCAATTTAGATGATGCAGTAGATATATTTTCAAAAATTAAAAATAGAAGATATCCTCAGCTTAGATTAATTTAACCTGGTGTAGGTAATGTTTATAAAATGCAAAATTATTTTTTGCAAAAATTTAAATTGTATAATAATATAATATATAAAATATGTGTCTTAAGTATAAGTTAAAACGTGTGAGCGTAACTCCATATTTCCCCCGGTAGTATGGGCCGGTCAAAAATTTTGCCCCCCACCTATCAAAAACTGAAATGACGCCATTGTATTAAACGGTCTTTAGCTACAAAATGTATTACTTTTTATTATAAATGTATAAATTGTTAAAACAGACGCACCGTTTGAGTCGGTTGAATTAGAATGATATAAGGATATATACAAGTATAAATGTTTACTTTGGTTATTTTTGTAGTTCTGGATTCGTATTTTAGTAGATAGACAATGGTGCAACAACATGATTACACTCACTTATGTTAATTACTAAAATTTACTAACAATGCCACTGTCCTAATGTACATGTCATATGAGTTGCCTAAATATTGCTCCTAAAAATATACCATGCTCCAGCCCCAAAGGGCATAATTTTTGCAAAGGCTGAAAACAGAAATTGGACAGTATTTTTTAACTTATTGTACAGATACTTTTAATACAAATTCCTTAACAGAACATCCATCAGTTTAAATATCCACAAAGTTCATTAAATTCAGTGACAGTTCTGTTATTGCAGATTCAACTCTTAACACTTCTAACCGTATTTAAATGTTTAGTTCTTCGTTTTCCTATACCGTTTTTTCTGTGAAATTTCTTAATGCACGTTCGTATTTTATGACCATCAATTAAAATAGATTTATTTTTATCTTAATTCGTGTTTATAACTAAGGTGTATAGATAACTATCATAACAACTATTATATATATATAACATTTGTTTCATAAGAAGCAATCAATTTTATTGAACACTAAAATAATTTTATTTTATATAATTACCTATTGTAATCCAATTTATTTTTATTATAAAATGTTTAACGATAAAAAAATAAAAATTTGAATTTGTGTTGTTAAACATACTATCGGTATTCTAAAAACGGATCTAGGGGAGAAATCACCACTCTAAAATACGCCTTTATTTTTCACATGCATACTTTATATTATTAAATAGTGGTTTACCGATTTACCACATAGTTTTGATGATGTGGCCTATGACAGTGGGGTAGTGAAGGTATTATTTTAAAGCAATTGCTCCTTCAAAATTTGGTTGTGGGTTGGTTGATACTACCATACTTATTTAATATATATCAAATTATGTAATCTGTGAAAATACACCATCAAAATGTAAATTAACTTATTAGTAACATAACTATTAAAAATATTTGTAAGAATATAGGCTTACTTTTTATATAGTAAAATTTGTTTTGGGGAGTTATAATAAGTCACCAGTGAACTGGGGAGAGGGGTTAGAAGGTGCCTTATACATTTTTGCTCCTCACCGAAAATCAGTCCAACACAACATTGGCCTTATACATTGAGTATGTTGAATTATAAGTTGTTTTTTTTAAAAACAAATTAATCAACATTTTTATAACTTTTTTTTCTAATAACTTTTAATTCTAATTTTTTAATAATTTTGGTAAACATTTATAAAAAAAAAATATTTTATTTTATAATATATAAAAAAATAGATAAATAAATTAAAAGAATTAAGTTGATAAATATGAATAAAGAATACAATTTGTTTACGTGGTATTTTTTTTGTGAGTTTCTTAAAATTTTTATCAAAAAAATAAACATTAAATCTTTAAAAAAATCAACTTAAAAAATAATATATTTCAAGCCTAAAATTTGATTTACTAATCAATAAAATTCTTGTACAGTTCCATAATGGTAATATAAATAGTGAAAAATAAATATAGAATCATAATAAATAATACTAATAAAAAATCCTTAAATTAAATTAAAATCTTTTTGTTTATTGTTACTAATATTTGTGAAAAAATTTCTTAATTAAAATACCATTTAATTTTTTTATTTTATATTTGTTTGTACTGTACACCACTTTGTTTAGTTTTTTTATATTGATAACACAAAATTATTTTCAAGATCCCGATATTAAATTAAAAAAATAATTAATTAAAAAAATAACCTATTTAAAATTGTTAATTATCTTTATATAATAAGAAAATGATTCAAGATTATAATTTATTATATAATAATAAAAACTAATATCATAATATTATATACTATAACTAACTTCGCAGCAGATGCGCTATTTATTATAACAAAATAATTTACTGTATTAAGTTTACAACAGTTATGATATTATGTACATAGTAATAATCATATATCTATTAAATAAATAAAAAAAAATGAATATTATGTAGGCTTATAAATTAAACAAACTCCTCAGTATAATCATCAAATACAACTGCTCTATACATTTGAAAATAATAAATTCAAATATTTACTAACGTTATTTTAATGTCAAGCAATGTGTTAATTAAATTAATACATTCTTATCGACAAAAAATATACCTCTAGAACAAAATACAGTCATTAAGTAACATTTAATTAGTGGGAATATAGCTACACTAACACGCAAGATGATACATTTTTCGGTGATTCTAAATTATAAATATTTATAAGCTAAAATGAATATCTTGAATCTACAGCACAGTGT